CCATTTCTCCCTCGGCAATCTAGGGGGACAGCGCCATTCCGCAACTGAGACTCGCGCGCACACCAACCATCCACCCGCTCATCCCCGCACAATCCCCTCCCCACGACCTCTCTTGAAAGGCCAAAACCCTGAACTTCATATCAGGGTTATCTCTCGTTATTCTGGCCTGGATTTCCTTCACGTATGGGCTCTCGCGCTCACCGCACCTGCACACCCCCTACCAACTCTCCCTGTTGCTCGTACTTATCTCTACCCAGTTTCTTTTCATCGCCTTTTCGTCGCCCTCCGACCTTCCGCTGTCCGCGCTTTTCCGTCGTCCTCGCTTGCATTCGTTTTTGCTGTACTTCCTTTTGAAACACCTGTTTTTCCCCGCTTTGTCGTTCTAGCCACAATCAATTGTGACAGTAGGGGGGTCACAAGATCCTTCGTGATCCCTGTTTTTGATCGGCCGATCGTTCCTTCGTCTTGCAGGTAATGAACTTATTTCCTTTTTGTGTTATTCCTCACAACTGCCTGCAAAGGGAACTCCTCTCTTTTCCAGCCACGCTTAACCCGCAGCTCGCCTCGTTAAGCCAATCCTGCCAGCTGCTTCGGCTGGTCGTGGACGTCGTTTCACGGTTTGCTTCGGCTGATCGTTGAACGTCGTTTCACGATCTGCTTCGGCGACTGGTGTGGTTGGCTGACGTGGCAAGGCTGCCGGTTACACCAATGCGGAGGCTGGTTTCGCGGAATTCCGAGAGGGACACGTGGCACATAGTACCGATGGAATGCTCATTTCTCATTCCATTGGCCTCCATGTCACACTCACATTCAACGCTTTGTTCACCGCATTTTGCATTGCCAAACACCGCCTTCGCGTTGTTCACGCGCTGCTCCTGCCTGCTGTAAGACTCATGCCTCGCTCTCTGATTGCAGTGCTTGCAGGTGGTGCGTCGAAGCAAGTTAACCAAGGTTACCGGTACTACCGCTGATAATTTGCCTTCCACAGAATCCATCTTCATGCTGCCGATTCTCGTAGTGTGCTGCCGCTTCTCTTTTTAGTGTTCTGTTTTCAGCAATGACAATTAAGTCACTGGCATCACAAACCTTGTAAACATCTACAAAATATCATGTGGTTTTTCAGAGTTTCTGTGTGATCAGCTTTGTTTGGGGGAGCATTACTTTATTTTGCAAGTCAGTTTTGTAAGGTTCTGTAAGTGATGGATGGGGCGGATTCCCCTGTGAACCCTTTGCCAGTGAACCGTTCCTCTAACAGCACCAGTATTCAGCATCCTGAAAAGGGTTCCTTCGTTTCTACCCTCCCTGCCCTACAATTCCTTGGTATCTACCCTACTGAATAACTGCTACGGGATCAGCAGAGGTACAGTTCTCCACAACATATCATCTTTTAGAGGACGCTTCCTGCTGGCATTCATCGGAAGCTTCTGTATTGAGGGTTTGTAACATTTTGCTGAAGGCATAGGACAGGAGATCTGGTGGCCGGGCAAGTTGGTCGCCACTCCTGAGGGAGGGGAGCAGAGGGAGGGAGTGATGCACGGGGGAGGCTGAGGGTAAAAACGGAAAGGAAGAAAGTGCTGGCATGATAGCCTAGCCTTGTGCTGTCTCACAGGGCATCAAGGAGCCCCCACACTCACCTGGTGCAATGGTATTTACGTTGAATCAGACCACAAATTCCGTAAGCATCCTCATGTGGTGGTGCTCTGCACTGCAACTCACCAATGCCATACGCCTTCGTGCAACGACCCTCGCAATGTGTGCTGAGGTCGTTCAGTGTGGCTAAGAATGAGGCCACATAGCCCCTGCCTGCCCTGCCCTCCCCACACCCCTACAGCTCTCCTCGCAACTCACCGAGGTCATACGCCTTAGCAGCAACGGCCCTGGCGATGTGGGCTGAGATCTGCCGAATCTTCCAGATGGGTGGGTACACGCGCCCCTGCTCCCTGTCGTCGTCGCTCACCTGAGATACACACATGCAGGTAGGTTGCAGGTTCGGGGTGAGGCGAAAGAGGTGATGGGGGTGTAAGTACACAACAGGGGAAAGGAAAATAGTGACTCGGGACACACTCAGAAGGTCTCCCAGATGGTGGGTACACATGCCGCTGCTCCCTGTCATCGTCGCTCACCTGAGATGCACACAGGGGAGGGAGATGGAGCGAAGACAAGGGGAGGAACACAGGACAAAAAGGTGACGAAAGGTGGCGCTTAAAAGCCACACTTTGAATCGATCGACTCAACAGCTAACTCACCTGGTGGTGGCCTTTGATTCGGCTGAAACCACAGGGCCCTCACCTGTGCTGCGGGCACCTCCGCAACAGCAAGAAACATCTTGTCTCTCATGCGCGTGGCACCACACATGTCGGTATCGCAATGCCGCAATGATTGATTCTCACCTGTGCGCCAGTGCCTCAATCGCCCTCACCTGTGCCGCCAGTGCCTCAATCGCCCTCACCTGTGCAGCGAGTGCCTCAATCGCCCTCACCTGTGCTGCGAGTGCCTCAGCAGCAGCGAGGAACATCTTGCCTCTCATGCGCGTGGTGCCACACATGTCGATATCGCTGTGCCGCAATGATTGATTCTCACCTGTGCAGCCAGTGCCTCGGCAGCAGCGAGGAACATCTCGTCTCTCATCCTGGTGGCCCCGCACATGAGGCAGCCCAGGCCGATCCCCGGAAACACATACGCATTGTTTCCCTGCCCTGGCACGAACCGCCTCCCATCCATTTCTACTGGGCGAACGGGCTGCCACTGGCGAATATGGCCCGACCCTGGAGCGGTGGAATGGGGTGTGGAGGGGTGGAGAGGGTGGTGTGCAGGAAGATTTAGTGGTTGCCATCCATCTCCACCGGGCGAACGGGCTGCCACTGGCGAATATGGCCCGACGCTGGTGGGGGTGGAAGAATGGGATGCGAAGAAGTTGGCTTGAGGAAACACACATGCATTGTTGCCCAGCCCGAGGACAAGCCACCTCCCATCCATCTCCACCGGGGCGAACGGGCTGCCACTGGCGAATATGGCCCGACGCTGGTGGGATGGAGAGTGAGAGGAGAAATAAGATAAGTAGGCTTGATGGAACTCATACGCGTTGTTGTCCTGCCCGGGACAAACCGCCTGCCATCCATCTCCACTGGGGCGAACGGCCATCCATCCGCCTGCCGCTGGCAAAGATGGCCCGACCCTGGTGGGGTGAGGGACGGATGCAGAACAGAGATGGTTGAGTGAACGGCAGAAACGCTTACCCATCTGATAAAAATTCAGGTTTAGAACATTCTCACGAGGACAATCGCAAGAGAAAAGGTGGAAGCGAACATTCACAAAAGCCAACCATTCACGTTCAGCCACCAAACCCAGGTATCCACCCATCTCAACCCATTCACACACCTGAGTCCACTTGTACGCGTCCTCTGCTGTGCACTCAGAGAGCGCGTGGGGTTGGAGAGAGCGAGACGATGGTCGCTGGTGGGGATAGGACGAGTGGAGGCAAGGGGGTTGAAGGAAGAGAAAGGAGAGCGGATTAGATGGATCTTAGAGCGAAGTGAATGGGAAGCTGTTGCAGCAAGCAGCCGGAGGAGCATTTTTTAGGCGCCTCAAAAATCGTCTCAGTTCACGCGGTTTTTATATGGGGAATGGATCTTAGAGCGAATTGGATGGGAAGCTGTTGCAGCAGGAGCAGCCGGAGGAGTAGGAGGAGCAGGAGGAGCAGGAGAGCAGGAGGAGCAAGAGAAGCAGGAGAGCAGGAGGAACAGGAGGAGCAGAAACAGCAGGAACGGCAGGAATAGCAGGAGCAGCGCGCAGCAAGAACAGCAGCAGAAAGGCCAAGACTTTCCAGCCAAAGCACTTCTCCCAGCCCTCACCCTCGTTGAGTTGGACCATGGCTTCACCACTGGCTGGGTGAATGTCCCTGCCTGCCCTGATACCCCTTGAGCACAGGCAGCAACCACACCACAGCAGCAGCAGCAGCAGCAGCCCACACCCTTTCCACTAAAAGCAACCCCAGAACTCACCTCGTTGAGTTGTTCCATGGCTTCGCACACCGGCTGGGTGAACAACGTCCCTGCTGCCTGCCCTGGCACTGCTACCAGCACCACTTCACTGCGGGCGCCTCATCGCATATATTGAAACAGGCACCTCAGAAACATCCCAGCGCTCACCTCGTTGAGTTGGGCCATGGCTTCACTCGCACACTGGCTTCACACACTGGCTGGGTGAACAACGTCCTGCCTGCCCTGAGCACTCCTATCAATGCAGCTCTCCAGCTGCCACATCCCTCCAACCTAAATGCATCCCCAGAACTCACCTCTTGAGTTGAGCCATGGCTTCACACACTGGCTGGGTGAACGTCCCTGCCTGCCCTGACACCCCTATCAGCGCTGTTGGCCGTATGGCCTGGGAAGGGAGAACGAGAGAGCGGGGCGAGGGACACATAACAGTTATCAAAGAATATCAAGACTTGTACGCGGTCTCTGTGTTGAGAAAAATCGAGTGAAACAAATTGACATGGATAGAGAACAAAACTCAACCCCAACAGGCGAGTTGAGTGAGTGGTCAGCCGATGCACTCAGGCTAATGTAAGCCCAGTGCTAGCTGTCTGCATCGTCAACCCCAGATCGTCCCGCTCACATGGATGGTCTCCACGAGATCAGCTGATTCGGGGTGGTCATGCGCGAAGGGAACCTTGTGAGGCTGCAACGAGTCCACTCTGCTGCGCACCACCAGACCCTGGAGTGTTGGGGGGGAGGGGGGGGGAGAGAGGACGGAGGGAGGGAGGGAGGGAAGGGGGAAGGAGGGAATTGCTTAGAAATGACCACCCCGAATCAGCTGATCAAAGGACGGTGAGGAGTGAAGGACGGTGGGGAACTTGTGCCGATTAAGGGGCTGAAATTCGAAGGTCTCGCACCTTGGAGCCCACGAGCCAGATGCACCTTGAGCCCAACGAGCCAGATGCACCCTGGAGCCTCTGCCAGGGATATCTTCGCCTATCTGCTGATTGCGGTCGCCAGCACCTCCGCAATGCCGGTGCTGGCTTCACCTTGTAAGTCTCACCTTGGAGTCCACTGATCATAAATCACCTGATCAAAGGGCTTCAACTTTGAGTGGCTCACCTTGGAGTCCACGAGCCAAATGCGGCCTCTAGCTCCGCCAGGGATATGTTCGCCTCTCTGCTGATTGCGGTCGCCAGCAGCTCGGCAATGCCTGTGCCGGCCTCGCCCGCCCCGAAGAAGAGGATGGTCTGGTTGGACAGGGATGAGCCCAGCAGGGGTAAGAGACGCCAGCAGCCCTGCCAGGGCCACTGATGCTGTTCCCTGGTGGGAGCGAGGCCATGGGGTGAGGGAGGGAATGGAGGAAGGAGGAGCAGAGGATGGTCTGGTTGGACAGGGATGAGCCCAGCAGGGGTAGAGACGCCAGCAGCCCTGCCAGGGCCACTGATGCTGTTCCCTGGTGGGAGCGAGGCCATGGGTGAGGGAGGGGAATGGAGGAAGGAGGAGCAAAGGATGGTCTGGTTGGACAGGGATGAGCCCAGCAGGGGTAGAGCCACCAGCACCCTGCCAGGGCCACTGATGCTGTTCCCTGGTGGGAGCGAGGTCATGGGGTGAGGGAGGGGAATGGAGGAAGGAGGAGCAAAGGATGGTCTGGTTGACAGGGATGAGCCCAGCAGGGGTAGAGACGCAGCAGCCCTGCCAGGGCCACTGATGCTATCCCTGTTGGGAGCGAGGCCATGGGGTGAGGGAGGGGAATGGAGGAAGGAGGAGCAAAGGATGGTCTGGTTGGACAGGGATGAGCCCAGCAGGGGTAGAGACGCCAGCAGCCCCGCCAGGGCCACTGATGCTGTTCCCTGGTGGGAGCGAGGCCATGGGTGAGGGAGGGAATGGAGGAAGGAGGAGCAAAGGATGGTCTGGTTGGACAGGGATGAGCCCAGCAGGGGTAGAGACGCCAGCAGCCCGCGCCAGGGCCACTGATGCTGTTCCCTGGTGGGAGCGAGGCCATGGGTGTGAGGGGGAAATGGAGGAAGGGGAGCAAAGGATGGTCTGGTTGGACGGGATGAGCCCAGCAGGGGTAGAGCTGCTGTGCCCTGGTGGGAGGGAGATTGTGGGTGGAGGGAAGGAAGAGCGGAAGGGGAAAGGGTGGAATAGTGGGTCGATGGTGCGGGCGGGGCACGAGAGAGATGTTCCCTGGGTTTCAAAACTAGATGCAAACCCACGAGAGAGATGTTGCCCTGGGTTTCAAAACTAGATGCAAACCCACGAGAGAGATGTTGCCCTGGGCACCCTCTCGCACAACAAGTGCACCTGAACGTCATGGCGGAAGGAAGGCCATGTGGGAGCCGAGCCGCGGTACTGGAAGAGCAGGTTTATGAGGTGGCGCGGAAAGTGAGTGCTACAACAACAGATGCAGCCAAGCACACACACACACACACACACACACACACACACACACACACACACACACACACACACACACACACACACACACACACACACTCCTGGATATCGTCGTTGAACACGAGGTGAGAGCCGCGGTACTGGAAGAGCAGGTCTGTGAGGTGTCTCACGAGTGAGTGTTAACACACAGCACACACGCGACACATCCAGGACAACAATCCCACCTGGATATCGTCGTTGAACACGAGGTGAGAGCCGCGGTACTGGAAGAGCAGGCGGAAGGCGTTGTGGTTGGCAAAGTCCTCAAACTGAATCAGCACGTCCGACCCAAACCGCTGCTTGCACGCCTCCATGAACTCGTCTATCAGCTCGTCGTACTCCTGATGGTGAGGGGAAGGAGAGGGGAGAGGACGAGGAGCGGAGAGGGAGAGTAAGAGGGAAGGGTTGTCAATTGAGTGAAAGCACGTCCGACCCGAAGCGCTGCTTGCACGCACGCCTCCATGAACTCGTCTATCAGCTCGCCGTACTCCTGTGGGCGAGACAGAGGGGAAATGTATAGAGGTGACAGGGAGAAAAAAAATCGTATACACAGATGCTGCGACACACCGCTGCTTACACCGCTGCTTGTACTCCTGATGGTGTTATGAAGAGGAAAACAGAGGTGAGGGTACGTTTCAAAGGGAGGGGAGGAAGAGGGGAGAGAAAGGAGGGAGGAAGGAGAGGGGGGGGGAGGATAGAGACGCCATTAAACTGAGGAAGTTTATCTATGCACGTGGGAACGTACCTCTCCTGTGGCACGCGGTTGCCTGAGCCCAGGATAGAAAGGGTCATTCAGCCGATCAGAGAGCACTGCTGGGTAGGCATGACACCGAGCAGGTTTATCTATCCACATGAGAGGTTATCTCTCTGTGCACGTGGAACGTACCTCTCCTGTGGCACGCGGTTGCCTGAGCCCAGGATAGAAAGGGTCATTCAGCCGATCAGAGAGGACTGCTGGGTAGGCATGACACCGAGCAGGTTTATCTATCCACATGAGAGGTTATCTCTCTGTGCACCTGGGAACGTACCTCTCCTGTGGCACGCGGTTGCCTGAGGCCAGGATAGAAAGGGTCCTTGAGCAGAGCCTGGTTGTTGTGCCCACGTCGATGGTCACCGGCAGACACTGCCATGTGTGTTGGGTGGGAGGCAAGGGAGGGATGGGAGGGATGGGAGGGATGGATGGATGGGAGGGATGGGAGGGATGGGAGGGATGGGAGATGGGAGGGATGGAGGGATGGGAGGGATGGATGGATGGATGGGTGGGATGGGAGGGATGGATGCATTGCACACACAAGGAAGGTGAGACGTGAGAGGTGAGAGGTGAGACGGTGAGAGGTGAGAGGTGAGCGGTGAGAGGTGAGAGGAGAGATGCGAGACGGTGAGAGGTGAGAGGTGAGAGGTGAGAGGAGAGGAGCAATGAAAACAGGGGCTGAGGAGAAAGACGGAGCGGAGGAGCGGAAAGAGAGGAGAGGAGAAGAGAAGAGAGGAGAAACCTGAATCCTCCCTTTCACCCTCTTCCTTCCTGCATACCTCTGCTGGGTGAATGCCTCCGCAAGCCGTATAGAGTGTTAACTTGCCCACGGCTATTGCCATGCCCTGACGCCGGGAGGGAGAGGTTGGGGGAGCGAGTAGGGGGTGAGGGAAATGAGAGGACAGGGACAGGGGGAGTAGGCAGAGCTGGCTGGTCTGCCTCCGCAAGCTGTATAGAGTGTCAACTTGCCCACGGCAAGGGAAGGAGCGCAGAGGGGAAGGGGAGGTCGTAACGACAAAAAAAAAAAAAAAAAAAAACCAGAAAGTGATTTGTGAAGTTTACCGTAAGCCCTTGATATGGGCGCCCTGGGCAAACAACTGTTTCCAAGAGAAGCACTCAGCAACAACTATTTTCACAGGTGTTGACACACAGTTGCAGCTATGTATGGACACAATGGCAACTAGCGCCACGTCCAAGCACCCTCTCCCCCGCCCAAGCACCCTCTCCCCATCACTGTAGCGACTATAGCACGCACTCGCCTCTCAGGTCAGTTCTTGAGCAGCTCCATCACTCGACCTCGGTCTCTCTGTGACACAAACAGCCTTTGCCACACCCACACCGCACTGCACGCCCAGACAAATACAACAGCTCACCTGCACGCCCAGGTCTTCAAGCCCCAAGCACTCTCTCCCCTGTAACAACAATCGCCCGCACGCACCTCTCGGGCCAGTTCTTAAGCAGCAGCTCCATGACTCGCCCGCGGTCCCTCTGCAACATATAACAGCTTTTCCCACACCCGCACGCCCAGACAATCCAAGCAACGCACCTGCACGCCCAGGTCCCCAAGCCAAGCACTCTCCCCATCGGTGACAACAATCGCCCGCCGCGCGTCTCTCAGGCCAGTTCTTGAGCAGATCCATCACTCGCCCGCCCTCACATCACATCTCAACCGCACTGCACTCCCAGACAATCACATCAACTCACCTGCACACCAAGGTCCCCAAGCCCAGCACTCTCTCCCCATCGGTGACCACAATCGCCCGCACGCGTCTCTTGGGCCTGTTCTTGAGCAGCAGCTCCATCACTCATCCACGGTCCCGCTGCGACACAAACAGCCTTTGCCACACCCACACGCCCAGGTCCCACAACAGCTCACCTGCACTCCCAGGTCCCCAAGCCCAAGCACTCTCTCCCCATCAGTGACCACAATCGCCCGCACGCGTCTTTCCGGCCAGTTCTTGAGCAGCTCCATCACCCGCCCGCGGTCCCGCTGCGACACAAACAGCCCCCGCGGGCCGCCGGAACAGCAGCCCAAAGCGCTCACACGCCAGGCCCACTGTGGGGGTGTTAGCTGCACGGGAAAGGGGATGGGGGAGTGTGGAGTGGGGAGTGGTGGGGTGGGAGTGGTGGGGTGGGGAGTGGTATAGGGAAGAATGGGGTGACGTTGCATCCCAAGCCACCCTGGCCGCCAGAATAACAGCCCAAAGCGCTCACACACACACACACACCAGGCCCCCATCTATTATGAGTGTGGTATAATAGAAAGAACATGGGCGAGCCCAATCCATCTATCTCCCTCTCCCGTTGCGTTAACTCACATGATGGCATGAGCTGCTCCACGTGGTCACGTGGTCCAAACAGCACGCGGTACAAGAGCCGCCCGTTGCACTTTATTCACGCTCGCCATCAGCATATTTTCCCTCTCTCTTCCCCTCCCTCCAGTACTCACACGATGGGCATGAGCTGCTCCACGTGGTCACGTGGTCCAAACAGCACGCGGTACAAGAGCCGCCCGTTGCACTTTATTCACGCTCACCATCAGCATATGTTCCCTCTCTCTTCCCCTCCTCCAGTACTCACACGATGGGCATGAGCTGCTCCACGTGGTCACATGGTCCACCAGCACGCGAAGAGCCCTAGGAGAGCAGTCTTCACACTCATCACCACCACGCCACTACTACAACCACACACACCTGCTCACAGGTCGCTCTCTCCCTCGCCTACACTCACACGATGGGCATGAGCTGCTCAACGTGGTCACGTTGGTCCACCAGCACGCGGTACAAGAGCTGCTCGTGCTCAAACTCACCATCAGCATTCTTTCCCTCTCTATCTCTTCCCCACACTTTCACTGGCTACTTTCTCCCTCCGCCTACACTCACACGATGGGCATGAGCTGCTCAACGTGGTCCACCAGCACGCGATAGAAGAGCCGCTCGTTGCGCTCCTGCAGCGCCATGAGGTGCACATAGCGCTGCAGGTCCGACTGTGCCTCTTTCAGATTCGCCAACACCCTGTCAACCTGGTGGGAGAGCGGAATGGGAGGGATGGATAGGGGTGTTCAATGCTCCTGCAGCGCCAGCAGGTGCACGGAGCGCTGCAGGTGACCTGACTGCGCTTCCTTCAGATTCGCCAGGGCTCGGTCGACCTGGACGGACGGCGAGAATGATGTAGGGAGAGAGAGACGGGGGTTGTTAAGCGAAGGGTGGCCGTGTTTGACGTTCCTGCAGCGCCATGAGGTGCACGTAGCGCTGCAGGTCTGACTGCGCCTCCTTCAAATTCGCCAACACGCGGTCGACCTGGTGGGAGGGAGGGAGGCAAGGAGGGAGGGAGGCAAGGAGGGAGGGAGGCAAGGAGGGAGGGAGGCAAGGAGGGAGGGAGGTCCTGCCTCAACTAAACTGCTAGCAGGCAGTGTGGCTCGTAAAGCCTGCTAGCTAGTCCCACGTGGTGATACACCTAGCTGCCAATATGTCCTCACGAAATGTCAGTCGCACCTGGTGGTCCTGGCTCATGTAGCCTGCTAGCAGTCAGTGTGGTTCATACAGCCTGCTAGCAGTCAGTGTGGTTCATACAGCCTGCTAGTAGTCAGTGTGGTTCATACAGCCTGCTCGAAGTCAGTGTTGTTCATATGGCCGGCTAGCAGTCAGTGTTGTTCATTCGGCCTGCTAGCAGTCAGTCAAACCCACCTGATGGTCCTGGCTCATATAGCCAGCAGGCAGCAGCCCGTTGAGGTAAAGGCGGTTGCGCTCCTCCTCTGTGAAGGCCAGCCCCTTGTTGTACTTGGGGTTGCGCAGGAGATCCACCCCGCTGCAGGCAAGAGACAGGGACAGATAGGAGAGGCGGTTCACGCACTGAGTGAGTGTGGCGAAATGAACGAGGTTCCTCCTCTGTGAAGGCCAGCCCCTTGTTGTACTTTTGAGCGCCTCAAAAGGGGTTGCGCAGGAGATCCACCCCGCTGCAGCCAGGTGTCACGACAGGGACAGATGAAAGATAAGAGGTTGGTGTTGTGAGGGAGCTTATGGCATGAGCGTGGCGCAACGGACAGACTCTTCCTCTGTGAAGGCCGGCCCCTTGTTGTACTTGGGGTTGACTTTGAGTTGACTCAAAAGTCAACGGACAGACTCTTCCTCTGTGAAGGCCGGGCCCTTGTTGTACTTGGGGTTGCGAAGGAGATCCACTCTGCTGCAGACAACAGGCACGGATGAATAACAAGGATAGGAAAAAAACTAGCACATTGGACGCTTCTGAGTGGACCCTGCGGGTTGGGCAAAAGAGCCACACCATTACTATTGGTATAGCATTATAAGATTAGATTAATCCAGGATTGAAATTAGGGATCACTGGCGCCCTAGCATGGGCGTGAGGAGACAGACGTCGATGTGAAAAGATATAATATATTATCATTCCGTGAAGCTCTCTTTCTCTTTTTGAAGGAGAAAAACCACCCCACTGAATGTGATACAGACAAACGAGGGGCCACGGACGAGGAATTAAGACGAGAGGAGACATTGACTTTTCAGATAAGAAGGCATACAACAGACGCGAAACAGGCGATTCACGTTCACAATGCCATTCACGCTTGACTATTCCGCAGACATGACCCAACCCTACGTTGCAGGCCTGAAGCGATCCTAGGCTATATCCTACAACAGTATTACTAATAACTCACTGCGGTCCCGTCGGGTGATACCAGGCTATGCTCATTGTCCGAATAGTTTGAATCGACTAATAGCCACATTTTTAGTGACCAACCTGGCGACGCTGCGGATTCATGGCGTGACGTCCACGCTATGGTCATTGTCCGAATCTTTGAAGTCGACTCCAATGTCGAAATGTCTCGGATATATAGAGTCGAATTCAATGTCAAAATGTCACAACAGCAACTACCGACCTGGCGACACTGCGGACCCCACGGCGTGACGTCCACGCTATGGTCATTGTCCGAATCCTCCTCCCCGCTGCCCCCCTGATTCCCCAGATGCCGCCATCCGCCTGGCGGGCTGGCGGAAGACTGCACCGCGGACCCTCCGCTTCCGCACACGCCTGTAGCCCTGCTGTGGAAACTCTCCGCAGCAGGCGAACCTTGCGCTAAGCCTTCCGCCAGGTAGCTCGCGGCAATGGCGGCAGGAGCGAGCTGTCGAAGTAGCTGAAGCGGAAGCGGGGAGTTCAGCGCGCTTACGGCCCTTCGGTGGCTGCTGCCTCGGCGCAGCCACCCAGCGAAAGCCATGCGCGGACGGACAAGCTTAAAGCTAGGTAAGCTTAGCCTGCACCAGCTTCAGAAACGCAAGAAGCAGAAACTGGCAAGCAAGGCAAACGCGTGGAAAGGCGCTTCAGCTAGAACTGACAGGGAACATAAAAAAAAAGCCAAAGCAATCGAATGGGACAGAGTGATGAAGACCCTCCGTGTTTCTCAAGGTCCAAATATGAGTTTTGTGAGATTTTGGAATTTTCGCCTAGAAACTGGTTGTGTGGTCAGGGATGGCCAGCACAGTGGCTTTCGCGAAGCCTGGAAATTTGCTTAGTGACAAGGGGTATTTGCAAGTTACGCCTATTTCGCAAGAGAACTTCAGCTTCGTAAGTAGGAATTTGCGGCCTCGTGTGCTTCGATGCACATGTGCAGCTCGCCTGAGGTTGACACCACAAGTTGGAAAGGAATTTCCTAGTGGTGGTATGAGTTGTCATGCCTGATTCAGGTAGATTTGGCTGAAGAGGGAGGTACGTCTGATTGGCGGACTCCGAACTCTTTGGAGGGGGTGGGGTTGGCTGAGACAGCGCTGACGCAAACTGGATATCCATTTCGCCATTTGCTCATATGTGGCAAACGATTGCCTCGGCTCCGATAGTCGGAGCCTTGATACAGAAAGGCTCTTGCATTTAAAAAAGATTTGAACAATGCAAACAGTTATAAGCAGATACAAAGCTAACAAAGCACACAATGGCCTGTACAAAAGGCAAACATGTATACACGGAGTCATGAGGCGCTCAGTGAGCGGCGAACAATAGTGCTGACATTTAGCTAACATTGATTCCTGATGCTTGAGAACCTCACCCACCAAAGCCCCCCTGCCGGAACCCACATACCGCCCCAGCAGCTCCCCCCTCCTGTAGAACAAGAATGTGGGCGCCTCGAACAATATTCAGCTCCCGCATAAGCGTCACCGTCGACTCGTTATTGTCCACCAAACACACGCGCAAAGACCGCAGTGTCCGACATGCGCTGCGCGAGCTTCACCACCGTCGGATGAATCCGCATCGCATACAGGGCCACAGAACGTCAGCGTCGCTTTCAGCACAACCAACCGATCGTCGTTCTCGTGCCGGCGCAGCAGCTCATAGAAATCCTCGCGACCGTTCAGCTCAAGCACTTTCCCGTCCTGCTCCGTGTCCGTGCTTCCGCTGTACACGCTACCGCCCTCGGATCTATCCGCGGCGTTCATCCCGAGGTTGCTCCCGCTGCTGCTGTAATACTGCAGTTGCAGCAGCAGCCTATCCACATCCATGCCAGGCTCCTCGTGCACCATCTGCCCGTCCCTGAAAATCGAGTACGACGGAATCTGCTTCACGCCTAGCGACTTCGCCAGGTCACGCAGCACGTCGCTGCGATCAGCCATGAGTCGCAGAAATAGCGTGCGACCGGGTGAGACGCGCGCGATCTGCTGAAGCTTGGGGTAGTTCTTCGCGGTGTTGGGGAGCGAAGACAAGGTGGGTTTCCACCACGACCGAGCTGGCCGCGCGCGGATGCCCGCCGCCAGGAGGGAATCGAACTCCTCCCATTGCGCTCACCGTGATGACGCGGCTGGCGGCGTCCGCCTCGAACGGGCAAGTTGGCGTCCCGGCGCCCTCATCGTCGGTCTCGTAGCTGGCGGGGCCAACGAGCGTAGGATAGAGCGTGCCGGACGACGGCGCGGCTGCGGCGGCGCCGGGAGCGGGGCGGCGGGTCGGGGAAATGTAGCGACGCCTCTGCGAGTCGCCTGAACTGAGAGGCGACTGTAGGCGACGGACGCGAGACACCGTGAGAGACGGCGACAGTGGAAGCCCCCGTGCGAGATTTCAGGACCTGGGAGGAAGCGCGAGGAAGGAGGACTGGAACGAGCAGTCGGAGACGGAAGCAAGGCGAAGAGTGTCCATGGTTGATCTGGTGGAGTAGCGCTGCAAAGTCGGTTGGAAATTAAGAGCGAAATGCACAAGGGAATGCGCAGAAAGACTCGTCGCTGGAGTTGCACAAGCTGTGCAGATTTGGAACTTCAAATACCCAGTGAAACCGAGTGCCGACGATGACGACCAACCGAGCCTGGCCCAAGGAAACGAGTGAAATTGGTGGGTGCTGTGGCCGAAATCTGGTGGGCGTTGAAAGCTGTCGAGTGAACAGAGTGAGAGAGGGCGCACTAGTTGAATGCCGAATGCGTTTTCGAAAGCTGATGAAGAATGACGAATGCTTAGGTGTGGTAAATACTCGGTGGAGCAATGCGAGGCTGGCAGTCAGAGAGAGTGTTCTGCGGGGAGCAGCTGCTGGCTCACGGTGAGGCAGCCAATTCCGTTCGGATGCCTGGCCAGATACACGAACACAGCACATTTCATTTCCCTCCCCTAGCTTCTTGCAAGTCCAGTACAGTACCCCACAGCTCAGTCTCAAGCGAGAAGTGAGGTGTCGCAAACTGTATGGTGAACCGCCTCGAGCTGTGGGGAGAAGTGAGGTGTGCGAGAACCTGTCAACTGCACTGACCTTGCTTGCTGTGGAACGAAATTCCTTTTCGCAGCAACCGCGGGACGCAAGAGCTCTCGGTTACGCAAAGCTGCAATTGGAGGGGATGCAGGAAGAGTGCACCTGGCATGATTGACGAAAGTACAGTACGATTTGTTCGCCAGTGGTTCGTGAATCTCCGTTGCAACATCGCACCGCTGCATGCTTCCAGTGTGAAGCAGGGCATGTGAATTGGGGGGAAGAACTCAAAATCTGGATAAAAACATGCATCTCAACGCTTTTTGCGATCTCGCCTTTGAAAATGTACCAGGGATTTGGAAGCAAGCATCTGGCTGTGTTGGAAAGCTGGAATGCCACGCTATCAGGAGATCCATGATATTTCTGGCGAATGTTAACCCAGCATTTGGCAACTTTCAATTCGAAACGTTTATTGTGGCAAGCCGCATGCTAGAATTTGATTGGCCCATCAAATTTGGCGGGACTGAGGGAAATGTCAGTACACTCCGCGCGAGACTGAAGTTCAAACTTTTCATCTCACTTTTTAGCAACCTGTGCTAATCACGAGGATGCTTGAAGGGGTTTGTTGACAAGGTATGGCAAACGATGCCGCATCAGACGGTGCACTCTACGCATCACTAGTCAACTCTGCGTCATTCCGGAAAAGTTCAAATCTCTCAAACCCCGTTCACTTGTCATGTCGATCTCGGATCGCGCCTCATCCGATGCTTCAACCCCCCGCGATTTCCACGTCGCCAGAAAAGCTCTGCTCCTCCAAACAAATCTGAGACGGGCAGTCAAAATGCAAACCAAAAACCCGGCCCTTCTTCTTCCGCTTCCGCTTCCGCAACCCCCCCGCGCGCCAAACCCTTCCTCTCTTTCCGCCAAGGCCGTTCCGCTTCCCCGCCGCTCCCTACCCCATCAGCTGCTGACGTGGCGTCGTTTGCGCGAGCAGTGGAAGTACGCGCTTCGGATGTACAGTGTACAGTACGCGAACGCGTGGGGGGGAGTGATTACAGCGGGGGTGTGCTTGTACGGACTGGGATGGTATATCAAAGGGGAAGACCCCTTGTTGGATTTCAGAAAAGCAGGAGGAGCGAGAAGGGAATAAGAGAGGGGAGAAGGAAGGGAAGAGGAAGGGAGATGAGAGGAGGGGAGGAGGATGACGACAGAAGATGAGGAGGCCTAGAAGTCAATACTTCCTCTAAGGATAGGGAACAGTTCCATGTGCAAGTGACACTATTTGATTGGAGGTGAAACACAGAGATAAATGTAACTGTTACCAGGATGCCAGTGGAGGAGAGGGGGGGGGGGGAGGGGAGGCGCAGGGCGAGGGGAGAGGGGGGGAGAACTGGAAGGTCAAGGACTAAGGGCAGGGTTACTGAGCCTGTACATAGCAGGGGCTAAGGCAGCGTAGAGTGACGGTGAATGGCAGCATGGCATAGGGGCAGGAGGAGGACAGCTTTGTTCGTAGCGTAATATTGCATAGCAGCATGTCATAAGGTGGGCACTAGGCAGGAACATAATGGTACATGTTCCAAATGATGTTGTAATTGGAGGGGGCAATGAGTGAATATCAGAATGAGCAGCAGTGGGAAGCCCACAGAAGCAGAGGTGCTATGCTATGGGAGCAGCAACAAGAAGTTGCCTTCACCCCGTTTTGAAACTGTGGATTTAGCCTTGTTGCTGAACTTATGTAGGTAATGTTGATGATACTGGTGTGGACAAGTAGGTAGATACTCATGTAGAGATTAGGCCTAGCCTAGCACTACAAGACCTGAAATGCATTGGATAGAAGTAGGCAGCACAGCAGCAGGCACACATGGACAGTCCGGCTGGCAGGCGCACAGTGAAATGTGATCCATCTCCCAGTGATGATATGGTATAAGCCATGCCTAACTCACTCTGCAATCAACCATGGCTCATTTCCTGGATTTTGCCCAATCCAACAACAGTAATACCTACTAGATTTTGTGCATACATCAACCTGTGCGCTCTGATTCGCCACTGTGAAGTCAAACACACATAGGTCACATCACATGCCGTGCACATATCAGAAGGACAGCGCTGCCCCATGTTTTCGCAGGGTCGGGATCTTCGAGCTTCAAGTAGTCCCTCCGACTGCCCTGCAGGTGTGAGACAGGGGAGGGGTTGCATTGCAGAGAGACGTTACAAGGGATAGAAAAGTGCCGGTTTCAGATACCGTGGTGCTTCTTACAAAACCATCCCCAAATCTTAACCCCAACCCCCGATCCCGCATTTATTCAACCCCATGGCCCATGCACGTACCCAACCCTGTCCCAAACCCCATCGCACCTGGAAGTTCACAGCCAGGAATTGAACATTCTTGCGAGGCACCTGCCCCATCCACGCGTGGAAGTGCTCATACAGCTTGCTGCTGGGGCACTTGTCGCCGCGCGTGGGGGCGAATCGGAAAAAGTGCGAGGGCGTGGCAACGGAGAAGTTGTTGTCCCACACGCACAGCCCCTCGTCGGACCACGAGGAGTTGTGGCACGCCCTCGGCTGGCAGAGGGATTCCACCAGAAACTTGGGGCGGAAGCGCGTGCGGCGCAGCCGGTAGGCCAGCTTGGCACTGTTTCGGAAGGTTGGGGTGAGAGAGGGGGAGAGGGGGGGAAGGGAATGGATTATGGGAGGAAGGACGGGGGAGAAAGGAGGAGGAAGTGGGAGGGCGTGGCAACGGAGAAGTTGTTGTCCCACACGCAGAGGCCCTCGTCGGACCACAAGGAGTTGTGGTACGCCCTCGGCTGGCAGAGGGACTCGACAAGGAACTTGGGGCGGAAGCGCGTGCGCCTTAGCCTGTAGGCCAGCTTGGCACTGGTAGGAAGGGGTTGGTGGGTTGGGTTGGGGAGAGATTGGGGCGGGCCAGGGAAGGGAAAGGGATACGGAAAAGGGATACGGGAAAGGGATATGGGAAAGTAGCAGAATTTTATTTTTGAGGCGCCTCAAAATTAGGATGGGGTTTGGTGGGTTGGGTTGGGGAGAGATTCGGGTGAGTCGGAGAAGGGAAAGGGATACGGGAAAGTAGCAGGATAAGGCAACGAGAGGAGGGAAAGAGTAGGGGAAACTGGAGGGCGTGGCGCCTCACCTGATGTCCTGCCTGACACCTGGCGCCTCACCTGACGTCCTGCCTGGCACCTGGCGCCTCACCTGATGTCCTGCCTGACACCTGTCGCCTCACCTGATGTCCTGCCTGACACCTGTCGCCTCACCTGACGCCAGTGACAGGTTCGGCCATGCAGGGCGGGTCGAGCTTGTCGTTGGTCCAGCACTCGCTCCACGTGTACCACCCCAGCATGGTCATCTCGCTGTACTCCTTCTTGCGCATCAGGTGCGCCGAACCTGGACGCCCCCCGAACAGCGCCATGGACCAGATCTGCTTGTACAAGGCTAGGAAGTCCTTCAGAGCATCAATGTGCCACAGGGCTGATGGGGAAGAGGATGGGGGAAAGGGAGCAGAGACGGGTGGTAAGGGTCAGTGATCGGGCCAATTCCCCTCACCAGCGCCATGGACCAGGTCTGCTTGTACAGGGCTAAGAAGTATTTCAACGCGTCGATGTGCCACAGGGCTGGTAGTACAGACAGAGGGTGGAGAGATGGAAGGGGGGATGGAAGTGGAGGAGCTGGGAGGGAAATGTGGTTGGAAAAGTCTGGGCACACCCCGAACAGCGCCATGGACCAGATCTGCTTGTACAGGGGCTAAGAAGTCTTTGAACGCGTCGATGTGTCACAGGGCTGATAGTGGGAACGAGGGAAGCGGGGAGGAGAGCGAGGGGAGGAGAGCGAGGGATTAGGGAGAGAGGGAGGGAGATGTGATTGAGAGACGTTGTGGAGTGGAGTCACACCGTGCCAATCAGTGCCAAGAGCAGATCTGCGTGTACTGCGAGACTGCAGGTAAGGTGTACTGCAGCATACCTGCATGGTTGGAGACTGCAGTTGAGGTGTACTGCGAGGGGAGAGGGGGGCGGCTGCATGGAGGGCCATCGCACGGGCAGCACCATCTTGGATGATGGATACATCCATGCGACCATCTGCGAGGGAGGTGAAGCAGGGGGAACGAGATGCAAGAAAGCCATTGCAGTGGAGGCGTTGCGCTCGCTCGCAGAACTGAAGCGATGACACGCCGGCATTCTTAAGGCGCCTCAACTTTTTGAGGCGCCTCACAAGGAGTTGCTGCACTTGCAAATGTGTAGTAGCGATGCCACGCCGGCATTCTTAAGGCGCCTCAAAAATCATCTATTTGAGGCGCCTCACGAGGAGTTGCTGCACTTGCATTGCAAATCTGTAGTAGCGATGCCACGCCGGCATTGCACTAGCGGCTGGCTGGCTGCATGAAGCAACACATTCGCCTATCGGCACCTTCGAAGCAAAGAAAGGTGCGCATAGAGCAACCAAGCGCCACCTCCCACCTGTGGCACAGTGGCATAGAGCATCAAACCTCACATCCACAAAGAGCATACTGGGGACACATTGGCATATACTGAAGGCTGGGACATTCAAAACCGCATAAAGCGAACCTGGGAGACGTTGACATAGAGCATGACGTCTATGGAGAGGGAGAGCACTCGAGAGAAGTTGTGGCGCTCCATGAACGCAGCGAGGATCCATGGCCGCGCCACCTCTATTCGCGTTACTCCCATCTTGCGCTGGTATGATGAGGAGTGCAGGGGACGAGGGAGGAAGGAGGGGGTGGGGGGGGGGGAAGGGGGGAAATTGAGTTACAGGAGAAAGGGGGGAGTTGGTTGGGTGGACGAAAAAAGGGGCAGATGAGTTGAGGTGGGACGGGAGAGGAGGGAGGGAGGAAATTGGAGTGGGGGGGAAATGGTGGGCTGTGGTGCTCCATGAAGGCTGCGAGGATCCAAGGCCGCGCCACCTCTATTCGCGTCACCCCCAGTTTTTGAGAATTCTAAAAAACCAGAGAATTCTCAAAACCCAGCTGTGAGGATCTAAGGCCGCGCTACCTCTATTCGCATCACCCCCAGTTTGCGCTGGTATGGGGGAAAGGGGATTTGGGGAGGAAGTGGGGAGAGGTTTGAGGAGGGGTGGGGTCGGAGAGGTGCACAGAACCCTATTACAAACCACAAACTCTTGCAGCCATCAATCAACTCACAGCGAGCCAGGCGCACGCGTCGTTATACTCGTTGCGCCCCTCAATGGTCACCCCCATGAGTCCCCCGCAGTAGCCACCCACACGAGTCATCACCGCAATGATTCGCTTCTAAAGGCCAGCAACTCACAGCGAGCCAGGCGCACATGTCGTCATACTCGTTGTGTCCCTCAATGGTCACTCCCACGAGAAACCCCAAAGATCCACCCTTAGAAAGCCAGCAACTCACAGCCAGCCAGGCGCACGTGTCGTTGTACTCGTTGCGCCCCTCGATGGTCACTCCCAGTGCTGACAGGTGCTTCAGGTTCGGATTGGGCCCCACCACGTACACCAGGTCGTTCAGAACTCCGCGCCTGGGGGGGTGAAAAGCGAAGTGAGGGGGAGGAGCAGGCATGGAGAACAGGCAGGAAGGAGAAGAAAGGCAGGGGAGGGAAGCAGGTGCTTGAGGTTGGGCTTTTGAGGCGCCTCAAAAGTCGTCCTCTCTACCGCAAGTTTGAGGCGCCTCAAAAAGTCGTCTCTCTACCCGCAATTTGAGGCGCCTCAAAAGTCGTCTCTCTACCCGCAATTTTGAGGCGCCTCAAAAGTCGTCTCTCTACCCGCAATTTTGAGGCGCCATCAATTCTCTCTCTACCCGCAATTTTGAGGCGCCTCAAAAGGTGAGGAAGGGCAGGGGAGGGAAGCGGGTGCTTGAGGTTGGGGTTGGGCCCCACCACGTACACCACCAGGTCCGTACTCCGCGCCTGGGAAGGGGAGTGGGGCCGGGGAAGGGGAGCAGGAGGGGAAGGGGGCAGGGGAGGGGAAGGGGACAGGGGGAGAAGGGGGGAGCAGGAGGGAAGGGGAGCAGGAGGGGGAAGGGGAGCAGGAGGGGAAGGGGAGCAGGAGGGGAAGGGGAGCAGGAGGGGAAGGGGAGCAGGAGGGGAAGGGGAGCAGGGAGGGAAGGGGAGGGCAGGAGGGAAGGGGAGCAGGAGGGAAGGGGAGCAGGAGGGGAAGGGGAGCAGGAGGGGAAGGTGAGCAGGAGGAAGGGGAGCAGGAGGGGAAGGTGAGCAGGAGGGGAAGGTGAGCAAGAGGGAAGGTGAGCAGGAGGGGAAGGTGAGCAGGAGGGGAAGGGGAGCAGGAGGGGAAGGGGAGCAGGAGGGGAAGGGGAGCAGGAGGGGAAGGGGAAGCAGGAGGGGAAGGTGGAGCAGGAGGGGAAGGGGAGCAGGAGGGGAATGGGAGCAGGAGGGGAAGGGGAGCAGGAGGGGAAGGTGAGCAGGAGGGGAAGGGGAGGCAGGAGGGGAAAGGTGAGCAGGAGGGGAAGGGGAAGCAGGAGGGGAAGGTGAGCAGAGGATGAGAGAGGAAGACCGGTGCTATAGGTTGGGATTGGGCCCCCACCATGTATACGAGATCGTTCAGGCTTCGTGCCTGAGAGTGGGAGGGGGGAGTGGGGAGTGGAAAATAGAAAATGAGAACAGGAAGGTGTGGCTTGAGGGTGAATGGAGTGACCTCCTGGACCTCCTTGGGTCGCCAATCCATTCACACTCAAGCCACACCTTCACTTCACCTCACACCCTCTCCTCATTCACTCTCCAGCCACCCCTGCACCCCCTTGGTCCGCCCTCCATTCACATTCCAGCCACCCTTTCACTCGCTCGCCCTCTTTCCACCTCCCATACCTGTTCAATCACAACAAGAGCCAGGTGGTGAGGCTCGTTGGGCACGTTGCTGGTGACACAAACGATGGGGATGGCCTCTCATGGTCCTCCTTGGCCCGCCACTCCTTGAATCAAACTTCAGCGATCCGTGCATCCCTCACTCCCTTTCCCTCCCTTCAGCTTTCTCGTACCTGTTCAATGACCACAAGAGCCGGGTGGTGAGGCTCGTTAGGCACGTGACTGGTGACAAACACGATGGGGATGGCCTCTTTCACCTCCTCGGCCCGCCACTCCTTGAGCACGTCTGCTGATGACGACACCAGTTGCTGCTGTTGCTGCTGCTGCTGCATGGGCAGCTGTGTGTCTGCAAGGGTGGCGGATAGCAGTGGGAGAGGGAGAGGAGCATTCGAAAATTACTTAGCAAATAAGATTGTGCATCTGGTGGTGATGTTGATGTTAAGGACACCAGCAGCTGCTACTGCTATTGATGAAGAGTTTTTGCGACGATATGAGTACCTGGAGCAGCGAGAATGAGGCACTTCTTATCAGGAGTGCGTCGTTTCCAGAGGGAAGAGATACCATTCGCTGCTGATAACACCACCCCCTCTACTACACCCTGCACCGTCCTTGGCTTGGGTGGCACGGGCTCGTGAAACGTCCGGCGAATCTCGTCCCGTTTGGATTCGCGGTAAAACAGCGGCCGCCCTGCACACCACCACCCATACGCCCCCCAATTTCCACCAATCCACCCCACCCCTTCCCACTCCTTCCCACCCCATCTCGCCCCACTCCCTTCCACTCCACCCCTCCCCACTGCTTCCCACCCCTTCCCAACCCAACCCCCTTCCTCTTCCCCCATGCACTCCAGGCAACATGCATGCACCATACCACATAGACATACCATGCCATGCCAGGCAATAAGCATCATTAGTTCATTGGATAATGGTGCACGTTGGCTTGGAGAAGAAATGGGAAGAGAGAGATTGGAAGGAGGTGACGGGAGACAGAAAAGAGAAGAAGAACGGGCTTGGCTTGGCATGCCCATTATGCCTACCTACCTGCCTACATACCTGAATGTACAGTAGTGTAGTGTGACACGTTACTTACGGGATTCGAAACCTTCATTGTGCCACAGACCTTCCGTTCTTGTCCATTCAAGCCTTTTGGAGGCATTGTGTGGGAAAGGGTATGAAAAAAGACACGAACCGTTGTAGGCACTCCAGAAGGGAAACAGCCGAAATCCCTAACACAGTCCGTGCCATGTCATTCTATTCATTAACCACGTCACACCACACCATGCCACACAATACAAACCACTCCATATACTCAGGCATACTTTCCCCATCCGCTTGCCCTATCACCCAGCCCTTTCCCCCAAACCCCTCCCCAACCCCTTGCCCGCCTGTTGCCTGGTACACCCAACCATAGCGTGTGGGCCAAAAAATGTTTATGGGGGACAAAACCGAGCTGACAAGGTCTGTAAAAGTACAAAAAAAAGGAGCAAAAAACAACCGAACGAACAAGCAGATTTACCCGGCCGAGGCGTCCATCCACCGTCTCACGTTTCCCTTTGTCCGGACAGCCCCAGTCAGTCGTGCGTGCTTGCTGTACTCACCACCTCCGCCTCCGCTTAATGTGCCGTCCGAATGAATAGTTCTTAAGCGACTCAAGAGTGAGTTCGTTAACAGCCATTCTGTCCCCAAGATGGGAGCTGCTAACCCAAGTCAACTTAAGAGTCATCTCTCGCTGTAACGGCTCATTTGCTGAGATTCTGTTGCACGCTCACCTAATTGGCCTGTCCCGAGGAGGTTGATGAGGACTTGAGCTCGTTTCGGGACGTTGCTGGTCTGCGAATTCGCTATTCTCCGAGCCACCTCCTCAAACGAAACGCTGCCGCACATGGCGATGACGACCACCACTAACGCGTATATCAACCGCATGAACAGAACCCGCAGGCTGAGAGATTCTCTGCGAAACAGAATTCGAAAACAGAGCCAGTCAAAAAGAAAATTCGCAATTAGAAATAGGTCCGAGGCAGTAAACCCAATGAATTACTATTGTCACGTTGATGGATGAGCCTCACCAAAAACGAACGCGGGATTGGAAGTAAGATACGATATTTCTGACCCGCAGATTTAGCAGATTAGTGGAAAACGGAAACGGTGGGAGCTTTTAAGAGCACAGGAGATTTCTCTGAACCATATATGGTCTACTACCTTGGAGGATGCTTGCTGCTCGACGCCGCTGACAACGCCTTGAGCGACCCCGATCGGCCAAATCTTAGGAATCTTAGGAATCCCCCGGGTGTTGAATGGCCGACCATGATGCTCCACTACAGATGGACCCGATACAAAAAGACGAATTCTTCGTCGAGTCGAAGAACTTCTCTACCTTCAGAAAATTGGTCTAATCTTCAGCGCTTCAATAAACAGATGGCGCCGTGGCAAGTGTTGCCTGGAGTCGAGTCGGAAGTCCGCCACTACTAGTACGGAGGTATCCGTGGATCATCTAACGGGCTAACAAAGCATATTTGAGCCATAATGATACGCTGGGCATTCCAAGAGTTTTAGACGTCACATTGCAGCAATCTCGGCTGACGCATTGATCACTGTTCGGCTAACGAATTCCGAAAATTCTCTAAGAGGTTACCTACAACGGCTCGGGATCACGGATATATTTATCGTCAGCACACAGCTGACAGCGATTCGAATAACAAGCCACTGATACCACGGATCAAATTGAGCTCCAGGCAGGGCCCACTGACACCATGTATGGCCCAGCCAGGCAATCGTATATTGCCACTAAAACAAGACACGTGTTTGTGCACCGCAGAATTTACCGCCTAAATGGAAGGTGCTGCTTAGCTGCTGTCATATGCAAAAGTAATCTGTCCATTGCGCTCTGAGGTAAGCCGAACACTCCTTGCGAGCCACCACGTCGTCAACCCAGCCCGGGTTATCAGAAGCAGAACTAGAATAGCACGCCACTAACGAGAGAGGTTCTAGAACTGAAACTGAAAAGACAGTATGGAGCTGGGTTCCAATCCAATCCAAGTAAGCACGAGGTATTATGGAGTTGGTTGGTGGAGGGAGTACAGCTTCTCATTCCAAGCTTGAGTACAGCTTCTCATTTCAAGCTAGAGTACAGCTTCTCATCTCATTTCAAGCTTCTGTCCAGCTGCTGTCTGGTTCAGGCTTCTCCACTCCAGTTTCCCATCTCAAAGAACTGTAGAGACCGGGCGTCACCAGCAGCTGGTGTGCGAAATACACGATTCACACCCTCGGTCGCCTGGCATGGTAACCTGCAGATGGGGCAGATGGGGCAGATGAGAACCTTTGGCCCCTGGGTTCTGTTTCAGGAGAATTGGCTGTACAGTTGAAGGTTCGTTTACTGTACTTGTGTGATGCTTCTCCGCCGGGCATCAGAATATGCTGGCTGGGCTGTTCAGGGTGTTCGCTCGCTAACAAATTATTCTCAAGGTGCCCGCAAATCCAGAAATGTAGTTCATCTGAAACTTTTGCAGAAATTTGAGGGAAGTAATCGCCCCACCTGCAAGCAAGGTTTCGCTCGAGTGCTCGTGAATTCTTCGCCAATTGCGATGTCTCACGAGGGATCCCCAAGACCGAGGTTGGTGGAGGTGGTGAGGGAGCAGAGCCAAGCCAATTCCTTCCACCCCCCTAATTGAACTGACCAGATCGGCTCGGAAATCCCAAAGCATATTCATCCAGTTTTGAGCCTTCGGAGGACTTGATTATCTTACCCAGCTCCGACTTGTGAGTGTTGGATTGAGGGCTGACCTAGAGAGGTTCTGGCCTGGCTCCTGAATGCACTTGCTCAAAATTGCTCACGCGGACGGCACATTGCCCTGGTCAGCAATCCTCGATCCCATTGTTAGCGCCGTTGGACGCTGATCGATAGTTCAAATTGCGGGTGCACGAGCTGATAGCGGGAACAGGAGCGATGGCTCCTCCTCGCAAAAAGGCCGAACCGAGAAAGGAGGAGAGCGAGAACGAGAGCGAGAGCGCGAGCGAAAGCGGGAGTGCGAGCGGCCAGGGAAGCGGGGATGAAAGCGCAAGTGAGAGGAGTGAGGGTTCCGACGAGGGGTCTGACAGGGACAGCGACGCGGAGGAATCGGGGGACGAAGGAAGTGAAACTGAAGCAGAGGAGGAGGATGGGGAGAAGAGTGACGAGGTGAGCGAGAGAGACGCGAGAACGGAGAGTGACGTCAGCGATGCGGACGGGGATGAGGAGGAAAATAATAGGGTTTCAGATAAGACGGGAGCGAAAAGAGCGGGAGGGTTACGGGGGAAGGAGACAGATGGTCTGCTGGGAGCAAGGAGGACGAACGGAACGGAAAAGGAGAATAATCAATCGAGAAGACCTCGGCTGACGTGGCTATCGTGGATTGGCCTATGGCTGGGCTACTTGATCGCTGCGTTTATTGCCTACCACGTAATGCAGACTGCCACGTCACCCGTTCCCAGTCTCTCCCACCCCTCATCCTCCTCCTGCCTCTCCTCTAACTCCGCTGTTAATGAAACAGCAGGAGGGGAAGGGGTTCCAGCCTCACAGCCCGGGTCAGTCCAATCAGGAAACGCCACATGTCCTGCTCCGCCTCTCCCTCCTCTCGCCACGTGGCACCCAGCCGTGGCAGCAGCCGCCACTCTCGCGCTTCAGCCCTGGTCCCCTGTTGCCGCCACACTCGTCGTCCTAGGGTTCGCCCTCCTGCTTCTGCGGCAGGTGTCTGCTGTCATTAAGACATTAGTAGTCTTAAGAGAGAAGGTTAATAGGCTAGAGGCGGACGGAGCAAGCGCGGGGGCTGGAGGGGACGGGGGACTGGGTGAAGGGGAAGAGAGCGAGGGGGAGGAGGAGGAAGAGGAGGGATCGGAGGACGGTGAGAGGGAGGACTGGGAGGGGTTCGCAGGTGGTGCAGGGGGGGGGAGTCGTGGCAGTTGGCGATGTCGGTTTAGCAGAGAGCCTTGCTGCGATCAGTGAGAGTGTTGGGACAAACTCGCTGTTAGCGATTTTGGTGAATGAGGTGCGGGTTCCGTTGAGAGGGGTGCTGGGGGTGCTGCAGCTGCTGTCCTCCTCGCCCCTGGACGCAATGCAGCAGGATATCTTGCATTCTGTCACCGCCACCACGCGCCACCTCATCCACGTGGCGAACAACGTCGTTGACACCTGGCGCGCGGGACGGCCGGGCGGCTGCAGCAGCAGCTGCCGCCGCCGCCGCCGCCTCTGCTACAGCTGCTATAGGCGCTGGTGGAGCTGCATCCGCAGCTGCTGCTACAGCCGTTACAGCAGCAGGGGCAGCGGCTGCTAGTTCTGCTACAGCTGACAGCCTGGATGCAGGAGGGGCGTTGAGGCCTGTGGCTACAGTGCCGGTGCCGCCCAGGCTGGAGTCGGCACTGTTTGAGTTTCGTCCGCTAGTGGACGAGGTGTTGGCTCTGACAGGCGGGGAGGCGTGTGAGAAGGGAGTGGAGATAGCCGCGCTGGTCATGGACTCGGTGCCTGCAGCGGTTGTGGGCGATCCACTCCGACTCAGACAGGTACGCGCGTTGAAATGCACCAACGGGGAGTGGGTGGGGAGGAAGTTTCGCTAAAGCGCTCACATGTGGGGAGGCGTGTGAGAAGGGAGTGGAGATAGCTGCGCGCTGGTCATGGACTCGGTGCCCGCAGCTGTTGTGGGCGATCCACTACGACTCAGACAGGTGTGTGTGGTGAGCCCGAGGCTCTGACAAGTGCGTGTGAGAAGGGAGTGGAGATAGCCGTGCTGGTCAAGCGAGTGGAGATAGCCGTGCTGGTCAAGCGAGTGGAGATAGCCGTGCTGGTCAAGCGAGTGGAGATAGCCGTGCTGGTCAAGCGAGTGGAGATAGCCGTGCTGGTCAAGCGAGTGGAGATAGCCGTGCTGGTCAAGCGAGTGGAGATAGCCGTGCTGGTCAAGCGAGTGGAGATAGCCGTGCTGGTCAAGCGAGTGGAGATAGCCGTGCTGGTCAAGCGAGTGGACAATGTGCCAGCAGCTGTTGTGGTGTGGGGGAAGCGAATGTGACCCATTCAGACTCAGGCCACATTCGCTTGTGCATGTGTATCCAGGTGTGTTTTGAGTCGACTCAAAACACATTCTCTTGTGCATGTGTATTGTCACTTCCTAACCCCATCATGTGTAAACACCAACCCAACCCCCCCCCTCCCTCCCTCCCCCCACCCACTCCTCTTTCTCCTCTCCTCCACATGCAGTTTCTTCTCAATCTCTTCACTGTTGCTCTCCGCCTGATCAATCGGGGCCACATCTTCCTCTGTGTCTCATTGCCTCTCTCTCCCGATTTCCAAACCCCCCATTCCTCTCACTCCTCTCCTTCAAATGCAGATTCTTCTCAACCTCTTCACTGTTGCTGTCCGCCTCACCGATCGGGGCCACATCTTCCTCTGTGTGCGTGTTGCCTTCGACGCTCCCCACAAACCAGCAGCAGCAGCAGCAGCAGCAGCAGCACCAGTGGCAGGATCAGGAGCAGCAGGAGGAGGAGCAGCAGCAGGGGAAGGGGGGGATGGAGGAGAGGAGGAGAAGGAGAGGGCAGCACGGGGCAAAACGTCTCTCATGAAGGGCGAGTACCTGACTCTGAGCGGGTTACCAGCAGTGGACGGCAGCAACAGCTGGCCTGCCGTCTGTGAGATGCTGAAGCAGCAGGAGAACCGACTAAAAAAATCACCCTCTGGTGGCGCTGCTGGTGGCGCTGCTGGGACTGCTGCTGGGACTGCTTCTGCTCCTGCGGCTGTAGCTGCTTCTGGCAGCGGCAGCGGCGGTGGTGGTTCTGCTGCTGCTGCTACTGCTGGGGGTGCATCTGGAACCGGGGCAAGGGCAGCGGCGGACAGGAGGAGGAGGGGCATCCGGCTGGTGTTTAGTCTGGAGGACACGGGGGCGGGGCTACCGGGGGAGGTGCTGGCAGCGAGGGAGCGGCCGTTTGAGGCGGTTCACATGAAGCTGCAGCAGAAGTACGCGGGCGTGCCGCTGCTGCTCTGCTTTGCTGAGAGGTGAGTAACGCGTCTGTCTGTCCGTCTGTACATACACTGCTGCTGCTGCCGCTGCTGCTGCTGCCCCTGCCGCTGGGCTTCACCGGGAGGTGAGTGAAGCATGGAAGGGGAGGGGCATCCGGCTGGTGTTTTCTTTGGAGGACACGGGGGCGAGGCTGCCGGGGGAGGTGCTGGCAGCGAGGGAGCGGCCGTTTGAGGCGGTTCTCATGAAGCTGCAGCAGAAGTACGCGGGCGTGCCGCTGCTGCTGTGCTTCGCTGAGAGGTGAGCGGTAGTCTGCCTGTCTATCTCTCTTTCTGTCTGTTTGCCTTTTTTGTATGTACACTGCCGTGCTGCTTCGGCCGTTCGAGCCGGTCCACATGAAGCCAGGACACAGTCACCCCCCCTCCCTTTCCCTCTCCCCCTCCCCCATCTCCCCCCTTCTCTCGCCCCCTCCTGTTCCCGCTCCTCCCCGCCCTCTCCATTTATCCCCTCAGGCTCGTGAACTCCATGTCAGGACAAATGTCGCTATCCACGCGCGTCAGCACCGGCACCACCGTCACCTTCGACGTACTCCTGGACCAGCCTCCCCCAGGTGCCCCCTCCCCTGGCACTGGCGGCAGCAGCGGAGGCTCAGCTGGAGGGGTCGGAGCAGTAGCAGGAGGAGGAGGAGGAGGAGGAGGAGCGGCAGCAGCGGCAGGGGGGGCAGTGCCGCGGGTGTTTCACATAGGGTACGGGGCGATAGGGGACGATCAGCACGCGGAGTGTGCGGGGCTGAGGGCGAAGCTGCGGGGCATGCGGTGTCTGGTGGTGGATGGGCGGCCTGTGAGGCAGCAGGTGACTGCCACGTACCTGGCCCGCATGGGCCTCCGAGTTGACCTCTCTGACAGCGTCCCTGCTGCTGCGCTGGCACTGCGACACTCAAGGCACCTCCCAGGTGGGTGATCCATAGACACAGGGCAGGGCAATAGGGTGCGAGCAGCATTTGGTTTGGTTTGGACCAGCATGTGAGGCAGCAGGTTACTGCCATGGACCTGGCCCGCATGGGCCTCCGAGTTGACCTCTCTGACAGCGTCCCTGCTGCTGCGCTGGCACTGCGACACTCAAGGCACCTCCCAGGTGGGTGATCCATAGACACAGGGCAGGGCAATAGGGTGCGAGTTTGGTTTGGACCAGCATGTGAGGCAGCAGGTGACTGCCACGTACCTGGCCCGCATGGGCCTCCGAGTTGACCTCTCTGACAGCGTCCCTGCTGCTGCGCTGGCACTGGGACACTCAAGGCACCTCCCAGGTGGGTGATCCATAGACACAGGGCAGGGCAATAGGGTGCGAGCAGCATTTGGTTTGGTTTGGACCAGCATGTGAGGCAGCAGGTGACTGCCACGGACCTGGCCCGCATGGGCCTCCGAGTTGACCTCTCTGACAGCGTCCCTGCTGCTGCGCTGGCACTGCGACACTCAAGGCACCTCCCAGGTGGGTGATCCATAGACACAGGGCAGGGCAATAGGGTGCGAGCAGCATTTGGTTTGGTTTGGACCAGCATGTGAGGCAGCAGGTGACTGCCACGGACCTGGCCCGCATGGGCCTCCGAGTTGACCTCTCTGACAGCGTCCCTGCTGCTGCGCTGGCACTGCGACACTCAAGGCACCTCCCAGGTGGGTGATCCATAGACACAGGGCAGGGCAATAGGGTGCGAGCAGCATTTGGTTTGGTTTGGACCAGCATGTGAGGCAGCAGGTGACTGCCACGTACCTGGCCCGCATGGGCCTCCGAGTTGACCTCTCTGACAGCGTCCCTGCTGCTGCGCTGGCACTGCGACACTCAAGGCACCTCCCAGGTGGGTGATCCATAGACACAGGGCAGGGCAATAGGGTCCGAGCAGCATTTGGTTTGGTTTGGACCAGCATGTGAGGCAGCAGGTGACTGCCACGGACCTGGCCCGCATGGGCCTCCGAGTTGACCTCTCTGACAGCGTCCCTGCTGCTGCGCTGGCACTGCGACACTCAAGGCACCTCCCAGGTGGGTGATCCATAGACACAGGGCAGGGCAATAGGGTGCGAGCAGCATTTGGTTTGGTTTGGACCAGCATGTGAGGCAGCAGGTGACTGCCACGTACCTGGCCCGCATGGGCCTCCGAGTTGACCTCTCTGATAGCGTCCCTGCTGCTGCGCTGGCACTGCGACACTCAAGGCACCTCCCAGGTGGGTGATCCATAGACACAGGGCAGGGCAATAGGGTGCGAGCAGCATTTGGTTTGGTTTGGACCAGCATGTGAGGCAGCAGGTGACTGCCACGTACCTGGCCCGCATGGGCCTCCGAGTTGACCTCTCTGATAGCGTCCCTGCTGCTGCGCTGGCACTGGGACACTCAAGGCACCTCCCAGGTGGGTGATCCATAGACACAGGGCAGGGCAATAGGGTGCGAGCAGCATTTGGTTTGGTTTGGACCAGCATGTGAGGCAGCAGGTGACTGCCACGTACCTGGCCCGCATGGGCCTCCGAGTTGACCTCTCTGACAGCGTCCCTGCTGCTGCCCTGGCCCTGCGAAACTCCAGGCACCTACCAGGTGGGTGATCCATAGACACAGGGCAGGGCAATAGGGTGCGAGCAGCATTTGGTTTGGTTTGGACCAGCATGTGAGGCAGCAGGTGACTGCCACGTACCTGGCCCGCATGTGCCTCCGAGTTGACCTCTCTGACAGCGTCCCTGCTGCTGCCCTGGCCCTGCGAAACTCCAGGCACCTACCAGGTGGGTGACTGGTACTGGTAGTAGATAGATACTAGACATAGCCTGCAGGGTGATAGGTAACGAGCAGCAAGTGGGGCGATAGGGGGCGACTAGCCAGGGGCGAGAAGCTGCGAGGCATGCGGTGTCTGGTGGTGGATGGGCGTCCGGTGAGGCAGCAGGTGACTGCCACGTACCTGGCCCGCATGGGGCTACGAGTTGACCTCTCTGATAGCGTCCCTGCTGCTGCGCTGGCACTCAGGCACTTCCCCGGCATCTACCAGGTGGGTGACTGTGAGTCATCCCTACTGCCGCCCTGGCACTGCCATGTACCTGGCTCGCATGGGCATTCAAGTGAATCTTGAAGCGTCCCTGCTGCTGCCCTGGCACTCAGGCACTCCCGGCATCTACCAGGTGGGTGACTGTGAATCATCCCTGTGGCTGCCCTGGCACTGCCATGTACCTGGCTCGCATGGGCCTTCAAGTGGATCTTGAAGCGTCCCTGCTGCTGCTGCCCTGGCGCTCAGACACTCCCGGCACCTCCCAGGTGGGTGACTGACGGGTGGATTGTTTAAGCGTGAAACCTAGCTGCTGCTGCCACCTAGTCACTCAAGCACCCTTACCTGCTCACTTCACCCACTCACCATCCCTCCATGCCCCCCATGCACACACACAGGCCAGGGCCTAGTGAACAGAAAGAGCCGGTGGGACATGTAGGTGGTGGATGCAGATGCGGACGGGCCAAGCAGCACTCACTCACTCACTCACACACCCTTCCTTAATCCCCATTCGTCCTCAAACGCGCAGGCCAAGGCCTGGTGAACAGCAAGAGCCGGTGGGACATGGTGGTGGTGGATGCAGATGCAGACGCAGACGAATCACAGACACTCACTCACGTATCCCTCCCCGTCCCTTCATTCCACTCGTCACAGGCCAGGGCCTGGTGAATCGCAAGAGCCGGTGGGACATGGTGGTGGTGGATGCAGATGCGGACGGGCCGGGCACGGGGATAGAGCTGGGGCGCATGGTGCAGCAACTGAAGGAGCTGAGAGAGGCGTGGGAGGCAACTCCTATTGTGCCTAAACTGCTGCTGCTCACTCAGGTAAGAGACGAGAGAGGTTAAAAAAGGATGGTGTTTTCGTAGCGCTCGAGTCGGGGACAGGCCGGGCACGGGGATAGAGCTGGGGCGCATGGTGCAGCAACTGAAGGAGCTGAGAGAGGCGTGGGAGACCACTCCTATCGTGCCCAAGCTGCTGCTGCTGCTCACTCAGGTAAGGGGGAGGGAGGAGGGGGGTTCAATCACTTGCTACCAAGAAATCTGAGCTCAATGGGCCGGGCACGGGGATAGAGCTGGGGCGCATGGTGCAGCAACTCAAGGAGTTGAGGGAGGCGTGGGAGGCCACTCCTATCGTGCCCAAGCTGCTGCTACTCAGGTAAGGGGGGGGGGGGAGGGGTGTAAGGGGAAGGGGAAGGAGGGAAGGTGCGAAGGGGGAAAGGGGGAATGTGTCACCCATCGTGCCCAAGCTACTGCTGCTCACTTCTGAGTCGACTCAGTAGTCAGCTCGTTACAATGTCACGCGAAGGGGGAAAGGGGGAAAGGGGAAGTGTGTCACTTGCATCATGCCCAAGCTACTGCTGCTCACTCGGGTGCTCCCTTTTACCCATCCATCCATCCATGTGGAGCCCATTCTTCACTGTATCCATGAACTCAACAAATCACCCATTTGCCCTCATTCCCAGTAACTCATTCATCCTCGTATTTGTTTACATATCGTCCTCCTCTCCCCTCTTCCCCGTCCCTTTCACCGCTCTGCACCGTGCTGAACCAGACGACAAACGACGACTTGGAGGCAGAGGCAGCGAGGCACGGATTTTCATGCATCATGCTCAAGCCCCTGCGAACTGCCACCATGGCCACCGCGCTCCTGCAGGTATGGCTGGTGCTAAGGGGAGAAAGTCTGCCCGTCCCGACATTTCATGCATGAATCATTCTCAATCCGCTTATAGCCACCACTATGGCCATGGCTCCTCCTGCAGGTATGCATATGGCACTGTCACATGGTACATGGTACATGGCACATGGTACATGGCACACGGTACATGACACATGGTACATGACACATGGTACATGGCACACGGTACATGACACATGGTACATGACACATGGTACATGGCACACGGTACATGACACATGGTACATGGCGCATGGCACACGGTACATGACACATGGTACATGACACACGGTACATGACACATGGTACATGGCACACGGTACATGACACATGGTACATGACACACGGTACATGACACATGGTACATGACACACGGTACATGACACATGGTACATGACACACGGTAAATGACACATGGTACATGGCACATGGTACATGACACATGGTACATGGCACACGGTACATGACACATGGTACATGACACATGGTACATGGCACACGGTACATGACACATGGTACATGGCGCATGGCACACGGTACATGACACATGGTACATGACACACGGTAAATGACACATGGTACATGGCACACGGTACATGACACATGGTACATGACACACGGTAAATGACACATGGTACATGGCACACGGTACATGACACACGGTACATGACACACGGTACATGACACATGGTACATGGCACACGGTACATGACACATGGTACATGACACACGGTAAATGACACATGGTACATGGCACACGGTACATGACACATGGTACATGGTACATGACACACAGTACATGACACACGGTACATGACACATGGTACATGACACATGGTACATGACACACGGTACATGACACATGGTACATGACACATGGTACATGACACACGGTACATGACACACGGTACATGACACATGGTACATGACACACGGTACATGACACACGGTACATGACACACGGTACATGACACACGGTACATGGCACACGGTACATGACACACGGTACATGACACATGGTACATGGCACACGGTACATGACACACGGTACATGGCACACGGTACATGACACATGGTACATGGCACACGGTACATGACACATGGTACATGGCGCATGGCACACGGTACATGACACATGGTACATGACACGCGGTACATGACACACGGTACATGACACACGGTACATGACACATGGTACATGGCACACGGTACATGACACATGGTACATGACACACGGTACATGACACATGGTACATGACACACGGTAAATGACACATGGTACATGGCACATGGTACATGACGCATGGTACATGGCGCATGGTGCATGGCTGCTCCTGCATTTCCTGTCTCCCACCTACCCCTCATCCTCCATCTTTCTCCTCCTACCTATCCTCTCCCTCCTCTCTCCTACCATCTCCTCCCTCCCTCTCCCCCGTAGGCGCTCGAGCTGAACCCCTGGGAGACAACAGCGCTGGCCACCAGGCGAAGGCAGCTGCTGCTGCGGCTGTGCCTCTAGGGCAAGCGAGTCCTGGTGGTCGACCACCACTACATCACTCCCCTCATTTCGCCCCTCTCCTTTCTTCCTCCCGCCCTACAGCTGCTGCTGCAGCGGCGGTTGTGGTTGTGCCTCAAGGGCAAGCGAGTCCTGGTGGTAGACCACCACTACATCACTCCCCTCATTTCGCCCTCTTCCCTACAACCTTTTCTAATCCCCTGCCCCTCCGAATTTTCCTTCCTGCGTTCACCTCTACTTCTTTCCCTCTCTCCTAACCTTTCACAAAGGCACTCGGGCTGAACCCACGAGAGACAACAGCACTGGCCACCAGGCGCAGGCAGCTGCTGCTGCGGCTGTGCCTCAAGGGGAAGCGGGTGTTGGTGGTAGACCACCATTACATCACGCGCAAGGCGGCTGCTGAGCTGGTTTCGCACTTTGCTGACGTGGTGGTGGCCGTTGACAGCTCAGTGGAGGCCCTCTCGCGGCTCACACCGCTGCCACACTCCTTCCAGCTCATCCTCGTTAATATCCGACTCGCTGACATGCCTGGGTGAGTGTTGCTGACTGGTGGTGTGGGGTGGGGTGGGGTGCAGTCGGCTAGGGTGGAGTGGAGTGGGTTGGGTTCGGGTGGGGTGGAGTGTGACGTCCATTCACTGAGGTATCAACGGGCCAAGCACAACAAGGCGAAGCAACACGTGCACACACAAGTCCACACACGCATTCACACCTCTCCTTCACCTCCGCATTCCTCAACACTCTCACCCACCCTCCCGCTCCCACCCCTTCTCCCCCTTCCAGGTTTGAATCCACCGAGGTGGTGTGGCGTCGGGAGGCTGAGCACAACAAGGCGGCACACACACCCAGATCTCTCTTTCACCTTTACATCCATGAACCCTCCCAAACAACAAACCTTCCCTCAACCCCCGCAGCTTTGAGTTCACGGAGGAGGTGCGGCGCCGGAGGGCGAGCACAACAGGGCAGAGGTCCAACAGTGGGTCCTAACCCGAATCATTGAACACTCCCAAAAACCAATTCCCCCCCAATCTCCCCTCCCCCCCCCGTTCCCCCGCAGCTTTGAATTCACGGAGGAGGTGCGGCGCCGGGAGGCGGAGCACAACAAGGCGGAGGTCCAACGGTGGGGCGCCACGTCAGCGCAGAGAATCCGCGTGCCGATCCTGGGGTTGGTGTCAGACATGCACCCTGAGATGGTGGCGCGGTGGCGCGATGTGGGCATGGATGGGTTGCTCACTACTCCCATTGATGAAGCCCAGCTGCTGACAGTGGCTTCCAGGCTGTTCAAGCCATCAGAGCAGCACTAGACAGGACTCACAGAGGCACACAATTCAAGATGCTGACAGGTGGTTGATTGACTTGGTTGATTGACAAGGTTTGCCTGCAGAGAATCCGCGTGCCGATTCTGGGGCTGGTGTCGGACATGCACCCTGAGATGGTGGCGCGGTGGCGCGATGTGGGCATGGATGGGCTCTTGACCACTCCCATTGATGAGGCCCAGCTGCTGACGGTGGCTTCTACGCTGTTCAAGCCAGCAGAGCAGGAGCATTAAGGTCACGGCATGGTGGTGCATGCTTAGGGTGGTGGGAGGTGGGCATGGATGGGCTGATGACCTGACCACTCCCATTGAGGAAGCCCAGCTGCTGGCGGTACTAGGTTTTGCCGTCCGAGCAGCATTAACCTGCACGTATGCTTGGGTGGCGGGTGGCGTGGTGGCGGGAGGTGGGAAGGCCATAGATGGGCTGATGATTACCCCGATTGATGAGGCCCAACTGCTCACAGTGGCTTCTAGGCTGTTCAAACCATCAGAGGAGTGGGAGGGGAGTGCTTGCTTGCTTATCCTGGTTTTTGAAATTGAAAGCTTGAAGCTACTGAAGTCATCCAAACATTCATATACGGATATCTTGGGTAGGTATGCGTCATGCAACACCTGGGTAGGTACGCTTCATGCAACACCTGGGTAGGTATGCTTCATGCAACACCTGGGTAAGCATGCTTCATGCAACACCAGTAGACGGACCCTCCTTTTTCTCCAAGGTGTAACAATCAAGCCGACAACGCGTACTTTGTAGGATTATGTGCAAACAACCTGAACTGGTTTCCATTTGTACAAGAAATGTTGCTACTAGCTTGCATAAGGAGCTGCATTGTAGGCAGGGTAACAAGCAGCTAGCTAGCCAACCGAACCAGTAGGGGAAGTAGGTTTGAGAAATGAAGAGATGGTAGATCCAAGCATTAAGGCAACTACCATCAAGCTAGGAAAATCTTACAAGGATGAGGGGAGGTGGCCTATGCCGGAACCATGAAGGCAATGGTGGAGTGGAGAATGCATTGCATATGGTATGTAGCATAACCCCACAGCATCAAAATTGAAAGGGACAGGGGTTGGGTTGGGTGGGTGGGTGGCGCTAGTTGTGCAGCCTTATTTATAATTAACAATGGCTGCTCCATGGAGAGAGGGGTGCGAAGGTTACGGTGGCTATGCTGCTGTTTCAAGGTAGGGCGGTGTGGTGGGTGGGGATGATGGCATCGAGGAGATGGCAGTGATGGCGGTCCAGGTGGGCAATGATGGCAGTCCAGGTGGGCAATGATGGCATTCCAGGTGGGCAATGATGGCATTCCAGGTGGGCAATGATGGCGGTCCAGGTGGGCAGTGATGGCGGTCAAGGTGGGCAGTGATGGCGGTCAAGGTGGGCAGTGGTGGGGGTCCATGTGGCCGGAGGTGGCGGTCCAGGTGGGCGGCGCGGTCAGGTGGGCGGCGGTGGTGATACATGTGAGCGGCGATGTTCATGGAAAGGCTTGAACTACCTTGGAGAGACGTGGAGGCGCATGAAGTGGCAGCACTAAGGCAGTGGCATGACTAAGGCAGTGGCGTCACTAAGGCAGTGGCGTCACTAAGGCAGTGGCGTCACTAAGGCAGAGGCTCCTGCACGTTCCGAAGGCGGTTGAGGTGCAGATACACGTCAGTGCCATAGCCCTCCATGGACACCACCTGCAGGTCGCCTCCAAAGTAGCGCGCATACAGCCGACTGATGGGCAGCCCGTACCCATACCCCGCCCTGCTCCACATATTAACGATGGGTACAATACAAGGGGCGCACAAGGGGGCAACCGTAATGAGTTCAAGTGGAATGAGGAAGAGTTTCAAACAGCGGTGGCAAGTGGTGGCAAGGGGTGGCGAGGAATGGCAAGATTTGGCAAAGGGTGGTAAGAGGTGACAAGGAGAGGCAAGGGGTGGAAAGGGGTGGCAAGGGGTGGCGTACATGACGGTGGGCATCTCGTGCAGCTGGTTGGCAGCAGCGATGGGCGAGTGGGCCGTGGTGTAAAGGTATGTCCAGATCTTTGGTAGCCCACTGCGCGGAATTCCCCCACCCTCATCCGAGATCTGCAAGATGGGGAGGGGTGGCAAGTGGTGTCAAGGGGTGGTAAGGGGCGAGTGGGCCGTGGTGTAGAGGTACGTCCAGATCTTGGGCAGGCAACTGCGTGGGATGCCCCCACCCTCAGCCGAGATCTGTACTGGTAGGAAGAGGAAGAGAGAGGGGAGGGGAGTGGAGGGGTTATGGTACGCACAATTAACATTCACAAACCCACACCTCCACCACCACCAACACACGCACATCAAACCTCACATTCTCCACCCACATCAGTTATGCCATCCTCCACGCACCTTGATGACATCCTCCATGCCATCAGCCACAATCAGGCGGATGGGCGGCGGGTCATGGTCACAATGCACCTTAATCCTCTCTCCTCCTTCCACCTTGGTACTGCAAACCCTCCACGCGCCTTGGTATTACCACTTATTCAAGTAAACACGCACCTTGATGGTGACATCCTCCATGCCATCAGCCACAATCAGGCGGATGGGCGGCGGGTCATGGTCACAATGCACCTTAATCCTCTCTCCTCCTTCCACCTTGGTACTGCAAACCCTCCACGCGCCTTGGTATTACCACTTATTCAAGTAAACACGCACCTTGATGGTGACATCCTCCATGCCATCAGCCACAATCAGGCGGATGGGCGGCGGGTCATGGTCACAATGCACCTTAATCCTCTCTCCTCCTTCCACCTTGGTACTGCAAACCCTCCACGCGCCTTGGTATTACCACTTATTCAAGTAAACACGCACCTTGATGGTGACATCCTCCATGCCATCAGCCACAATCAGGCGGATGGGCGGCGGGTCATGGTCAGCATCAGCGAATCTCTCCTGCACGGCACGCAGCGAGTTCTTCACCAGCTCAAACAGCATCTGGTGCAGATGGGCTGGCACGTACCTGCAGTGCAAAGGGGTGCGGATGGGTGGGGTGGGAGGAAATGGGATGGGGGATTGAGAGCATGAACTCCTGCACGGCGCGCAGCGAGTTCTTCACCAGCTCAAACAGCATCTGGTGCAGATGGGCTGGCACGTACCTGCAATGCAAAGGGGTGCGGATGGGTGGGGTGGGAGGATATGGGATGGGGGATTGAGAGCATGAACTCCTGCATGGCACGCAGCGAGTTCTTCACCAGCTCAAACAGCATCTGGTGCAGATGGGCCGGCACGTACCTGTGGAGTGACAGGGAGAGAGGTGGCAGGGAGATTGGTGGGAATTGGTAACAGTTACCTATGTGATATCTTTGGCCACGAGCTGAAACAGGGCCTGGCGCAGATGGGCCGTCACGTAACATCACCGCACGGGCAAGGCACTTACAAGCAGAGTAACGGATGCGAATCTGAGGTGAGGGTGGCCATACATGTGCACGTCGGGGGCAGAGCCGTATGTACAGCACGGCACGGCATGACACGGCATGCCATGGCATGTTACAGCACGGCACAGCAGGGCAAGGGGACTGCAGAGAATCCGAGGTCAGGGTCGCCACAGATGTGCACGTCGGGTGCAGAGCCGTATGTGCGCATGCATGCTGGCCGTGGGCATGAGTGAGTGAGGGTTGACAGGTGTGCGCATGTGTGCACGTGTGCAGGTGGATATGTGTGCACGTGTGCAGGTGGATATGTGTGCACGTGTGCAGGTGGATATGTGTGCACGTGTGCAGGTGGATATGTGTGCACGTGTGCAGGTGGATATGTGTGCACGTGTGCAGGTGGATATGTGTCCACGTGTGCAGGTGGATATGTGTCCACGTGTGCAGGTGGATATGTGTGCACGTGTGCATGTGCAAGTACGTACGCGAATCTGAGGTCAGGGTCGCCATAGATGTGCACGTCAGGGGCAGAGCCGTATGTGCGCATGCATGCTGACCGCGCATCGTCCACTGCGTTCCGTGCCACCTCCACTGGCGACACCTTGGTGCAGATCAGACTGGAAGGGAAAGCAAAGGGGAGAAGTGGGGGGAGGAGGGTAAGGAGGAACGGCTAGGGCTTCAATGAGAGAAAAAGGGAGATGGTGTGTGGGAAAGGGGGAAGAGCAGGGATATATACCTTGGTGCTGATCAGTCTGGGACGCGAAAGGTTGGGCAAAATGGGGGATGTGGGGGAAATGGGTGTGGGGACGGTGGGGTGGTGGTGGTTGTGGGAGAGGAGACGAGGGTTGAGGGGAAGAGGGGGCGAGGGGCTCTGATACTGCATGCCACTACACTGCTGATAGCCCGGGACAGGGACGAGAAAGTATGCAGGAGGAAGAAGAACCCGGAAAAAATATCATAGGGCGGCATACCCTATATAGTGAGGCGGCGGCGACGGTTTATGAAGCGCGACGTGTTGGCCAATGAGCATACGAATGCCTATCCGCGACATGTAGAAGCGATCCTGAGCACACACGGCACAGATGGGCAGATTGATGAAAGGCACAAGCAGGTTAGGAAGCACAAGCAGGTTAGGAAGCACCAGACAGATTTGCACCGTGCCAGTGGATCAACTGACAGCAAACATCACAGGACAATGGGAAAGCCACAGAAAAAGATGCTATGACAAGGACAAATAGCAGCTGCAGCAGCAACAGAGCTCCATCACCATCACGAGCAGCAGAGGCAGCAGCAGCAGCAGCAGCGGCGGCGGCTGCAGCAGCAGGCGACTGACTGACCAGGAACTGGTGGATTTCGGGCATGCTGTCGAGCCCCTGCCTCGTGCTGCCCGCCACCATGTCCCTCTTCAGCTCGCTCACTCCCATCGCCACCGTCGGCATCACGTTGTTGTGCCGCATCCGCACCTGGTCAACGCAAGTCAATGGAAGTCTATGAGAATCAAGCACAGAAGGTAATGCAAGTCAACGGCGCTACATACAATGTTCACCTCTGCTATCCATGCTCTGCTAGCCCGTGCCCTGCAACCACCACCTGCTCGTCTGCTTGATCATCCCAAGGTACCCCTCGCCTAGTCCTCCCCTGCTCCAGCAGCTCCGCCTCCCTCTCATCCTCGCACGCTGCCTGTCGTGCTCGTGTGCAATATATCAACAGCTCGACGGCGGCTTTTTTCGCTCACCTGATCTAGGAGCTCTGTGAAGCGCATCTCTTCTCTGGCGTTCTCAATGGCCGGAAACTGGGAGATGTCCTTGAACGAGTCCACGTACCAGTCTCGCACCTGGAAGGGCGAGAGCGGGCGACGGAAATTACCAAGGCAAAGGGTGAACAGGGAGCGAGGGAAGATGACAAACAGCGCCATGGAGTGAGAAAGGGAACAAGTGGATTTTATTTAACGAGTTCACGAAGAAAAAAGCAGCGTTTACAAGCCGTCTCGACACTTCCTCCAACACGTCCAGGACGCATTTTCGGAACCCCATACCTTCAGAATGGGAGCTTTATCCGACAAGCCGTAGGGAAGATTTTCGAGTTCCGTGACGCGATGAGCCAGTCGAACGGGAAGCTCGTGGTGAAGGAACTGAGCGGCTGTGATCAGATTCCGCTCCGTGGGATATGAGCCGTGCGCCATCATGTATTTCAGGCTGACTCCTGTTTGCTTTTTTGACGCGCATTTGTGTATCTGCAAGCATCGCATGCACGAATAGTAAGAATTTGCAAAAAATGAACGTTGTAGCACAAACAAGGAGAAATGACAGTACAAAGATTGTTCCAACAAGAGGGTCAAGGACATACATCGGCTAAAACACTGGAGCACAGCGTGTGCGACAGCTTTCTAACAGGTGACTTGGCTGCTGCTGTCGTCATCACGACGTCTCTGAGGATACCAATCTGTTGTCAAACCAGCCTCCAAACACTCGAGGGAAGCTTGCACCGAGAAACCACTGAGACACCAACTTCGAAAAACGAATTCTCTACAACCGGAAAATCAAATCCGCTAGTTTATCCTTGAGCACTGCTACCAAATGCTAGGACATGTGCCTAGCTGATGATGTTGGTCTAGTATCCAACTCATGCTAGTCAACTGTAACTCCGTGCACCTAAATCGCTGGTACTGACGGGAAATTGCCAGACGGGAAACTCCAGTGCAGTTCACTTCACTCAGGCTTGTCAGTTGCTGATCAAAAGCACACACTCGTAGGGAAACGAGCATCTATTTGCCCTGGAAGTCGACTACACGAGACTTTTACACAGCGAGCTAGCAGAGGTTGTGAAGGTAATCAGTCATCAACGGTTCCGACAATTTCGGGTGTCTGGAGCAGAAAAGAGATTTCAGCAAGGATGAAGATCATTCTCATGGTAAAGAACGGTTCATTTCGGTTCACTTAGGTATCAGTGGAAATGGACCACAGGGAGTTCTGTGAAGCAATGAGTGCCAGGAACTTGGTCGGGCCACCTCGTCGCGCCGAGCCTAGATCAAAGCGAGAGGCGCTGCCAGCCTTTCAACCGCAAATGTTCATCGCATGTGCCCAAGGGCCCAAAATGCTCCGTCTGCGAAAGGGCAGATTCTTGGACCGCCCAAAGAGCACTGGCCGCCAGCCGCTCATTTCCCGCAGTTCCGTAAAATGGACGCTGCATTCTGACCGTCCGAATCTAGCCCGAAAGGGAGGACGAATATTGGGTCAAATTCTCAAGTTTCCCTTGTTCACCGTAAGCTACCCCCAGTTGCACTTGTACACTTGGTGAGTGCGTTCCTGGATTCTTTCGGTGTGACTTGAAGGTGCCACGTCACGAGGTGAGTGCGTGAGTTTCACGCGAATCGGAGAAAGGAGGACCCCGAGTATTCTTCAGAAGAATGTTTATGGATGATGTGTGGTGGTCCCCGCACCAAGAGATTTGCCCCCTAGTCACATGGCGCTTACGCTGCGCTGGACGAAGTGCTTTCTGCGCCTATTGTATTCTCGCAATCCCCTGCGAACCACACAAGCACCAAGGTGGATAGGCCCCTGACACGACAGATCCAGCATACGTCACGTCAGACACAACACAAAGCAGCGCAATCAGAGCAAAAATGCTCTCGTTTTTGTAGCAGGGGCAAGTCATCACAAAGGTCCATAAAAAGGGGGGAAGTTCCCCCAAGCAAATATCACAAGCATTCACAATTCCTAACACCGATTCTAGTAGGCTGGGAGGAAGATCACAAAGTTATTATCTAAAAAGCACCTTACTTTCCATACATCACCCTCAGAGCTTCACAGGTCGGCTGGTTGTCACAAGCAAAATGCAATGCCATTCTTTCTCAACGGCACCGCTGAGTAAGACTTACAACGAAAGAAATGCCACGTGAATAATAACATTGGCCATAACTTAACACCATGTCGGATGACACACATACCCCCCAACAGGCTACCTAAAACCAACATAAGGGCCGCCACTATCCCCGCTCGTACTGGTACCGTGACCACCATACTCATCATAAACATAACTGTTATCACTACCGTTGTCCTCCGGCTCCACAGGAAACAAATCCTCCTCCACCTCATACTGAACTACCTTTTTCTTACCACCACGTTTCCCACCAATTCCAGCTCCAGAGCTGGCATCCCGCACCCCTACACTATCACTTACGATCCGGCCAGCTCCAGAACTTCCCACCCCCACAGCTGCAGGTGAAGCAGCAAAGGAGCTTACGTTCCTCCCACTTGCACTGCGCCTGGTGCTCCTGCCTCCTGCTTTTCCAGGGTATATACCCTCCCCGCCCGCAGCCGCCCCGGGCCATCTTTCTGCCTGCTCGTTATACCCCGCGCTCATGCTGTCCTTAAATCCTGTGCTTTCACTGTACCCCGTGCTCATACTGTCAGTAAATCCCATGCTCATGCTGTCCTTAAAGCCCGAGCTCATGCTATCATAACAGCCAGGACTTCCCCCTTCGCCATACCCCATGCTCATGCTGTCCTTAAAACCCGCACCTGCACTGCTGTTAAAGCCCATGCTTGCACTATCCTTAAAGCCTGTGCTCATGCTTTCCCTCAGCCCGCTGCTCATGCCAGCCCTAGCCCCTGGCCCCAGGCAGTCCCCCAATGAACTCTGTCCCCTGCTTGCCCTTCTCTTGGTCGCCTTGGGCTTGAACCGCGAGACAGAGGAGGGCGGGGAGGAGCAGGGAGCAGAGGCAATGGAATTGGAGGGGGAGAGCATGGCTGCATGGAAAGCCTCGGGTGGTTGGCTGTGCGCCCGAGACAGAGACCCTTGGGTGCTACAGCTTGCAGCAGCAGCAGCAGCCACACTGGCAGCAGCACCAGCACCAGCAGCGGCAGCCGCGACGCCAGCAGCAGCAGCAAGGGAGCCCGCAACAGAGGCACGGCGCTTCTGCTTGTCTCTTATCAACCCGGCTGTTCCTCCCTTGTAATCCTGAACCCCTCCTGCTGGAAAACCCCCTGCGGCTGTCGGAATGAACTGCCCTCTCTCGTTCTGCCTCTCCTCTCCCTCCTCCTCGTCCTCCTCCTCGTCTCTTGAACCGTACAAGTCCTCTTCGTCACCCTCTACCTCCGCCAAAACTCCCTCCTGCTCCCCCCCATGTGCCCCAATGGCATCATCACTCGCAGCCGGACCATATAAATCATCTACCACCTCCTCCCCCATATCACCATACATATCCTCATCCACTGCCATACCCCCTCCTCCTTCTCCTCCCCCCACTGCTCCCCCCTCCATCCTCTCCTCCTCCCAAGCCCGAATCTCATTCTCATTCGGACCCATCTTCTCTACTGATTTTCCCGCACTGCGCTTTGGCTTCTTCTTCCTCCCCATGCTTCTGGAACCTTCCTCCACTGTACCCATTGCACCCATTGTACCCACTGTACCCATGCCACCTGAGACACCCTCCCTTGGACCCAGGACAGATTTCCTCATTACAGTCTGCTCCGCTACAAGCCTCGACGAGCGGCCGTCTACTGTATATGCCCGCTGCACTGTCACAGGTGTGCCCTCCTCAGGATGTGCGTGCAGCTGCGAGTGCAGCTTGGCATTTCGCCCATCTGCTGTGAAGGATCTCTGAATCCCCATAGCTTCTTCACCCTCCAAACCGCCACCACTGTAACCCTCTTCGTAACCATCATCTTGGTAACCAGCATCATTGTAACGACCAGCATTGTAACCGGCGTCGTAACCACCGTCATTGTAACCAGCATCTTCGTAACCAGCATGATACGCGTCAACGTAACCGCCACCGTAACCAGTTCTACCATAACCACCATCATACCCAACCCCATACGCACCATCGTCTTGGTAACAAGCCTCATCCGCCCCTTCAGGAACCATGTGCCTGTTGTCCCCGCACATCTCTCCACCTTGCCCCCCCACCTTCATCCCTTTCTTGGGAGATCCACCTACTCCCACCCTTCCAATCCCACCTCCCACACCACCTCCTCTTCCCCCACCACTTGCCATCCCACCACCCGCTCCCACCACTCCTCCTGCCATACCACCCCCTACCGGCACACCTCCTCCCCCCGTCGTTCCCCAGGAAAAGTCCACACTTCCCGGCACCACACTTCCCTGCACCACACCCTGAACCAGGCTCAAAGAGGTCTCAAAACTAGGCGCACCCCCTCCCGACACACCCGCTCCCACCATTGTTCCCCGGGTAAAGTCCACACTTCCCTGCACCATACTGGCTGCCACACCAGACCCGGCTCCCCTGCCCCCGCCTGCTGCACCGCTCTGCACCATTTTGAACTGCAGCAGCTCCTGCAGCCTCCTGGGCGCATCTGAGGAGGTTTTCTGCAGCCTGGAGTGAGAGGCGGGCATGGGGAGTGGAGATCCCAAGGTAGACGCTTGAACCCCAAACCCTGTGCCCCCTGCTGCTGCTGCTCCTGCTGCTGACACACCTGCTGGTCCTGCCATGCCTGCTCCTGCTGCCATGCCTGCTGCTCCTAGCGGTGAAAGACATGCCGGAGGTGCAGCTGATCCTGCTCTTGATGCAGGGGAAGGCATATTGGCATGCCCTCCCCTCAGCATGTCTGCATGGCTTGAGGATCTCTGCCGCAAAATCTGCTGGTTCCCACCCCCCATGCCACCACCGCCCATGCCTGCTGCGGCAGGGGAAGCACTACTACCCCACGTGGGAGTTGGTGCATGCCTGGAGATAATGGGAGTGCCGCTATGCGACGCCTCAGAACCCCACTGCACCCCTGCAACTGCAGGCGACAGCATGCTTCCGGGCATATGCCCTACTCCTGCCCCTGCTCCTGCAGCTCCGGTTGCTGCTAATGGTGCTTGAGGCATGGTAGGAGGCATGGGGGAGGATGGCATGGGCATGGTTGGCGGAGGCAAAGGCATGCTGTTTCTGCCGCTTCCCTTCTTGCTCTTATGCCGCCTCGCCCTGGCAGGGGGATGACGGTGAGGAGACACAGCAGCAGCAGAATCCACTGCAGCAGCAGCAGCACCACCACCACCACCACCACCAGCAGCAGCAGCACCACCAGCAGCAGCACCAGCAGCAGCAGCAGCAGCACCTGCAATCTGCGACCTGCTATGGCCGTGGGTTCTGCCTCTCCGTTCTCTGTGCGGCCTCGGCTCCCCGTCCTCGCCTTCTTCGTCTCCATATGCCCCATCGTCATCATCATCATCACCAATACTTGTATCCCTCCACCCAACACGACCACTGCCACCACCCTCTGCTTGCATCTCCTCTCCTTCCTCACCCGCACTCTCGCTCTCAGCTGAGGAAAATTCCGACTCTTCCCCCTCGTGCGCCTCTATTCCCTCATCTTGCCCTTCTTCCTCTCCACCCACGTCATACAGGTCCTCCTCCCCCTCTTCCTCCGCTCCCGTTCCTGACATAATTCCTTCGCCAACACTTTCAGTAGCAGCAACACCACCACCACCACTATCTGAGTGGCGAGGTTGAATTGGCTGACCAGCTTTGCTTCCCAAGTGGCTACTTCTCTCCATGTATCTCGCCACGTCAGATGCAATGCAGGATATCTCATCCTTTTCACTTACCCCACTCTCAGACTCCGACTCTCCCATATCAACCCCATCGCCCATATCCTCCTTGTCCTCCGCTCCATCTTCCTCTTTTTCCTCTCCTTCCTCATCTATCTCCTCAGACCCCAGCTCTTCATGCTTCCTTCCCTCACCTTTTTCCTCACCACCATCCTCCTCACTCACCTCCTCCTCTTCTACCCCTTCATCTACAAGCCCAGGCACCAAGTTTCTCGCTCCGTCCTTCTGCCTACTCACCTCTCCATCCTCCTCACTCTCCTCCTCCTCATCCCCCTCCTCAATCGTCTCAGGAACACCAACAGCCACCTGCTGGTGCACCTTAGTCAGGCAACGCAGCAGCTTCGCCTCTAGCAGCCTCTCCCCTTCCATCCCTATTCCTACATCACCACCACCATCACCAGCAGCAGCAGTTCCTTCCCCGCCCCCAACTGCCTGTTTCTGCCTCAGCTGCTGCTGCTGCTGCTGCTGCTGCTCGCGCTTGAAGGAGTTGCGGGCGCTGAGCAGAATGCGCAGAGCATCGTCACCCGAGAGCTTCCGAATCTCCTCCCGGATGTCCAGAGAGGATAGGAACTTGCTCTCCTGCTTTGACTTGCTAGATTTGATCTCCTGTTTCGACTTGGATTCGTCCTTCGAGTCACCATCTTTTTTAGGTTTCCTGGAGTCTACTCCCTTGGAATCAACCTTCTCATGCCTTTTCTTGAGCTCCTTTTCCTTGTCTGCACCACTCTCCAATTCCTCCTCGCCCCTCGCCCTGCTTCTCCTTCCTTCCTTCACCTCCTCCCTCTGGCCCTCCTCCCTCTTACCCTCTCCCCGCTTGTCTCCCTCTTTCTTTACCTCACCTTTCTTTCCCCGCTCTTTCTTGCCCTCCTCTCCCCGTCCCTTGTGCTGTTTCACCGCACTATCTCGATCGTGCTGTCTTTCCCTTCTGCCCTTGCTCCCGTCTCTTCCAGCCCTCTCCCTGTCCTGTCTCCTGTGACCCCGATCCTCTCTCCTCCGAGCCTGATCGCTCCCATCGCTGGCACTGCTGCTATGGGTACCATCGGTGCTGTCTTCTTCTTCCTCTTCAACCCTCCTCCTCCCTTTCCTCCCCCTACGCTCCTCCTTATCACTCCTCTTCTCCCCGCCCCCTCTGCCCCTATCTCTGGACACACCTCCGCTCTTAACCCCATCCCCACCCCTACCCCGTCCCCTATCTCTAACCTTCTTCTCCCCCCTATCCCTACCCTTCTCCCTCTCCCTCGCTCTACCATGGTCTTCCTCATGGTCACTACTCACATGCCCATCACTGTCCATGTCACTGTAACGCTCTCCATCACGATCACTACCACTCCTGCTCCCATGCCTGTGCCTCCTGCTATGCCTGCTTGCCCCCTCATCTCTTTCCCCAACACCCTCCAACTTCCTCGGCCTTCTCACCCCATCGTTTCTCCTTCCCTCGTAATCACTTTCCCGCCTCCCATCCTCGCTAAGCTCTTCCCTTCCGTCCTCGCTATAAGCATCCTCGTCCTCGCTATAATCCTCCCTCCCGCTCTCATCACCCAGGTCAGCTCCCCGTCTCCTCCTGCCCCACCTGCCCCTCTCATCCTCATCCGACCCCTCCCCTATTCCCCCTATTCTATCCCCCTTCCTCCCACGCATGCTCCGGTTTCCCCTCAACTCTTCCTCCTCTTCCTCCTCCCCAGCCTCTTCCTCATCCTCATCTCCATTCTTTTCTTTCCAAGAGTCGTCCGCTCTACCTCTTCGCCTCCCCCCTCTCCTCCCTCTCCCTCCACCCCCATGATCAGACTCCGATGACCCCCTGCTCCTGCTCCTACTATCAGAAACACTCCTACTCCTCCTCCGCTCACTCCTCCTCTGCTCCCTCTTCCTCGGCTCTCCCCCTCTCCCCTCTCTTCGCCTCTCACCACTCCTCAAATCCCTGCGGGAAACCCCATCTCGCCTCATCTGGCCCCTCCCTCCTCCTCCTCCTCCTTCTTCTTCATCCTCCTCCTCTTCCCCTTCCTGCTCACTATCAGACCCATGCCTCGTTCTTGAATGACGACTATTCGATCGATCATCATCAAACCCATCATCGTCATCATCATCATCCCTCGCTGGTGAAGCCAGTCCCAATGCATCATCCCCCCAACCGTTATCAACCGTCTCATCATCATCATCCTCATCATCGTCATCCTCACTATCACTGCTGTCCCGCTCTCGCCTCCGTCCCTTGTGAAACCCGCTGCTCTCACTATCATCCCCTTTTGGACTCAAATCCTCCTCCTCCTCCTCCTCCTCCCCGTCCTCCTCCTCCTGCTCCTCCTTCCCTCCATGCATATTCCTCCGCAGAAACTTCATCAGCTCTTGAGTCAAAATCTCCTGCAACTGCGGATCCTCCAACCTCGGATCCCTCCTATTCAAATCCTCATCATCCTCATCCTCATCCTCCCCACTACCCCCAAACCCCCCCTCATTTTCCAGCACCTTCCCCCAGTTCTTTGGCCGAAAATCCGCCTCATCCAGCCCATACACCTGCGACAGAAGCCGCTTAAACTTGGTCATATCCAGCGGGTTCGTGCCTTGGTGCTCGCCAGTGTCTATCTCCCCATGCAGCGCATCCCCCTCGTCTGTCAGAACCAGCACGTCCGCCTTCCCCGGAAGCAGCTTCGGGAACCCTGTCGGCTGCTCGTCCTCCTCCTCCTCCTCCTCTCCCGCTCCCCCCTCGCCATCCGTCAACGTATCACCCGTACCCCTGATTCCCTCCTCCCCATTCCCACTGCCTCCGCCTCCTCCTCCTCCTCCTCCTCCTCCTCCGCTTCCTCCTCCGCCTGTGGTTCCCCCGACGCTCCCCTCACCTTCTCCCCCTCCGCCGTCGCTCTGCTCCCCAGCGCTGTCCTCCTCGTCCGGGTTGCTCCAGATCTTGGCAGGGCAGCGGGCAAAGACGGGGGTGAAAGCGGAGGACGCGGGGGACGGGGACGGGGGCTCCGTGCGCGGGTGAGCGGCTGGAGCTGCGTCGGAGGAGGCGGGATCAAGTTGCTGGGCCTGAGCCTGCTGCTGCTGCTCCTGAGCCTGCTCTGGGTGCTGATCGTGTTGAGCTGCATTGCTGCTGCTGCTGCCTATCGCATTTCCTCCCACACAGACATCCGCAGCACAATCAGCAACGCCACTCACATTCTCAGAACCACCGGTAGCAGCAGCGGCATCCGAGCCAGCAGACGGACCTTCTACACTTTCAACACACTTTCCACCGGCACTGGTACCATCCCCACCACCACCAACACCTTTCCCGCCATCTGCACCGCTCTCAACACCTCCTCTCTTCCCACGCTCGCTTGGAGCTCGCCTAGCATGTGGGGGGTGCCTCCGGCCCCCACCAGCAGCTGAACCAGCAACAGAACCAGCAGCAACACCAGGAACAGAACCAGCAGCAACACTACCAACAGAACCAGCAGCAGAACCAGCAACAGAACCAGCAGCAACGGCTCCATTCCGGACCCTATGCGCTGGTTTCGAAGGCAATGACATTCTCCTACCCAGAGCAGCCGGGTTCGCTAAGGGACCTGGAATTCCCTGTGCTGGAGGTGGTTCTTTACTTAGTCTGTTCATAATCCGTTCAGCTGCCTGCTTCCGCCTCTCGCGCTTCTGCTCCTCCTCGGTCATCTCCCTCTGCGGCTTCTCCTGCGGCTGCTCCTGCTGCTGCTCTTTTGCTTCTCCCTCCCCGCTCTCGCCTCCGACCTGCTCTTCCGAACCTGCTGCCGAGCCTGAAGTGGAGGCTTGGCTGGGTTCATCCCCCTTGTGCCGGATCACGAGCTCCGTAATGCTCCGGAGGAAATTTCCGGACAACTGGGACTTGAGGGATGATTTCTCCTTGGGTTTCGACTTCGCCTTGGGCTTGTCGTCACCGTCACCCGGTTCTCGTCTCATCTTCAAGTTTTGTTATCTTTTCAAATTCAACAAATGCTCGGGGTTAACCAACACGGGGTCTTCAACTTGTGACTGGTGTGCTTCTCATTCTCCCTGAAAAGCCACAGAAATTAGTGTCAGGAAGGAGATTTACCTACAATGATGCAAAAAAAAACGAAAGCCCGAAAAGTGAACGCCGAATGGCACCAACATCCACGTTATGATCATTAGATGATTCACAATGTCACAAATATGGTATCACGCACCGACGAAAACAACAGCGCTCGACACCGGTTTCGTCGGTTTAGGCGTGTTATCGACATAATGGTTTCGGTGCGACTGGAATGCCACGAAGATTTCGTTCAAATCTATGTTATGTACGTTTTAGGGTTACAAAACAAAGTTGCAGAAGTGGACGACGGGTACTCATTGAAATGCATGCCTGTACCAATAACATTAACGACCTAAGATAAGCTCATTTTGATACAATAGACAAGGTCCTATAAGGTCAATGAGGCAGCCGCAACGGATGCATAATTGTGCCTATTTTCGGTTGCTGTTTGCTAACCCTACTCGAGAGTCAAGGTACTAGCAGGTGACTATACGGAACCTGTTAGTTAGAAGCTTATCAGGGAGACAGGCAAGGCAACAGGTCCGAAATCGGAATCAACCCAGTTCTGGTGTGCCAGAGGAAGAGCAAGGCAAATGGTATGGGTGCGTTGCGTTGGCCTGTGTCGTGCGTCGCTGTAAAGCTTGGGAAAAAAGTGCCCGAGGACATGTCCTGAAAGTACGTTTGAGTGTGGTTTAATCAGTTTCTCCACGTTTGACAGCGTTTTACAGGGGTAGGTTGGGTAGGGTGGTCAGCCTCCACTTCTCGCGGCACTAGACCAGAAATGTTCTCAGCGCTGCCCCATCCATCCCTGCCTGCTTCACAGGCATCTGATGCTTTTCATGTGTCTTCTCACCTCCTCATGCCATATTGTCATCTGCCTCACATTCACTTTTTTGTGTCGCGATTTTGAATACCTCCTCACCCATGTAAAACTATCTTTAATAAAGAACGACCGAACCAAACCATGCTTTCCAAAGTAGCATGTTCCCAACAACCATAGACACCCCACGCGACGACCCATGGTGACATGTGGCACCATGAGTGGGATGGCTGGATGTCTGCGTGGTACTTGGCGGTGGTGATTGGCTGCTGACAATTGCCAAAAATGCAGATGATACTACTGGTTTGTGCTATACTCAACATTGGTTGCTAGTTCCAAACAGAATAACAAGGCATTCACAAATAAAACATCTAGGCTAAATGGTGTACTCATCCAAGTGAGGTCATGGGGAATGGACCAGACAAGGGCAGTGATGTTGGATTCAGAACTAAAAGTGCAATATATGTAAGTGTCAGAATTTGTAATTCTTATATAATTGCATTGCATGTTTAGTTAGTGTAGTATCACCTATTTTGTCTTAGGTGGTCTACCTCCCTTCACCACCTCCCCCATTTCCTACAACTTGTACTGCATTCTATAGTGCAATGCAATGCAAAGCCCTTCTCTTGGCCAAACTCTCTCTTCACAAACCCTAACCTCTAGCTACTATTCTGACGTAAGGGAAGAGACATCAGACTGCGATGCATGGTGGGCTCGGTATACGAGATTCATCGTGAACCCAACACGTAATTCATATCTTTTGCCACAAAACTGAATTGACCAAGCTAGGATCAATTTGACTACTGTCACTGTGCTATCCAGGGTCATATACGGTAGCCGGAATCTTGAGAGAGGGAGCCTCAGCAAATGATGTTTTAGTATATAGCAAGGTCCCACAATGTCACTCCTCCTCGGGCACACGGGGTGATATAGCCACTGTTACGAATAGTAATTACTGTCAAAACATATTGTTTGTTCATGTTACTTTAGGTTGTGTAGGGGTCACACCTTAAAGGGTACAACCCAACTTTCTCGACATCCTTGTACCCCCCCCCCTCTTACCTAATCCATTAATTCCTCATCTAGCTAGTTGTTCCAACATGGTATTAAGAGCACAATGCTCCTTAGGACCGAATTTCTAAAAGGGCCCACCACTACTATTTCGATCTGCTGTCCGAGTCGCGCCCCTAGGAGAAACGCGAAATGCGAAAACGTGCCCTAGGCGATACGGTTCCTTTTTCTGCCATAGTCGCGATTTTTCTTCTTAGTCACGTGCAACCCCCCTGACCTTGCCCTAGCTGCCCCGTGCGCCTCTCGCGCGACCCATTAGCCCCTACGCCCGGTCCCCCCTCTTTACTGCTGCTGCGCGCGCCACTCACGCTGCCCGCCAGCCCCTAGCACGCACCTGCTGCGCGCTCCTCGTAGTGCTGCCCCGCACGCACCTGTTGCGCGCCCCTGGTTTGCACGTCCACATCCCACGCGCGCCTACTGCTACTACGCGCCGCCCAGCCCAAGCTATCATAGCTGCTACTGACTAAAGCTACTGCTGCCACAGCTAGTGCTACTTGCTGCAGCTGCCCCTCCTTGCTGCTGCTACTGCTATTTGCTGCAGCTACTCCTCCTTGCTGCTGCTGCTGCTACTTGTTGCAGCTGCTCCTCCTTGCTGGTGCTGCTGCTACTGAGCGCCGGCTGCTGCTGCTTGCCGCTGCTGCTCCCCCACTGAGCCCGAGCCGCGCCGCCCTGTCCGAGCCGCGCCACCCTGTCCGAGCCGCGCCGCCCAACCCGAGCTGTCACTACTGCTGCTGCTGCAACCACTGCTGCTACAGCTAGTGCTACTGCTGCTATGTCTAACCTGTCAGTTCTTACGCTCGATGCTGAGGGCCGCGCGATTACCTTTGATGTCTGGCTCGACGATCTCCAGCTGTTCCTATGGAGCGAATCTAAGGATGGTGTTTCCCTGTTTTTGCACACTGAGGGAAAGCTCCCACCCCCTGCCGCCGACGCTGTAGAGGATCTGTCTGAGTGGCTCATGCGTAATGCAGCTGCCCTCCTTGATGTCCGCAACCACCTGCCAGTCACTGAGCGCGCACACTTTAGCCGGCAGAAAACGGCCAAGGATCTCTATGACGCTGTAGTTTCTCGCTACTCCTCCCCAGCTACTGCTGCTGTAGGTCGTCTCATGCTGCCGTACCTGCATCCCGATGTAGCTGAGTTCCGCACTGTCTCTGACCTCTTTACCCACCTCCGCTCTAGTGAGGATCGCTTCCGTGCCGCTCTCAAGCCGGACTTTCTCGCTAAGAACCCCCCCCCCCCCCCCCCCCCGCAGTACTTCACCCTCTACTTTCTTATCACTCGCCTCCCTGACTCCTTTCGCACTATCAGGGACCAGTTCCTAGCCATGGACCCCACTGAGCTCACACTTGACTCGCTTGAGAAGGCCCTTCTCGAGATTGAGAAGAGCACTGTCGTTGTCGCTGCCTCTCGTGGCACCCCCCGCTCCCCCTTCTTTGAAGGGTGTACTCCCTCCCCTCTCCTCCCCTCAGTTGCTACCGCTGCTGCAATCGATCTCCTTGGTGCTGAGGACGTTGGCGCTGCGTCTGCTCCCAGTGGATGGCGCAACAACAGCAAGGGCAGAGGGGGCAGGGGTGGTGGTGGTGGCAGCAGCGGAGGGGGTGGCGGGGGTGGTGGAGGCTCCGGGGGTGGCTCTGGGGGTGGCGGCAGTGGAGGAGGCGGACAGGGTGGAGGAGGCGGTGGTGGTGGGGGAGGCGGTCGGGGTAGCGGGGGCGGTGGAGGAGGTCGGGGTGGGTCTGGCAGGGGTGGTGGCGCTCGTGGACCCTCCCGTGGCTACGGGAGTGGTCAGCAGCTGCCGCGCCTCCCAGACAACCCCACTGGCCAGCAGCTCCGTGAGTGGGTTCTCCAGCGTGGGGGCTCTGGTCGCTGCCCTTATGTCCGGCGCACGGGCTTCTGAAGGGCACAGTCTGCGGGAAGCCGCATACCGAGTACAAGTGCTTCGGTCGTCTCGAGGACGCCTGGGTGACTGAGTATTCCGAGGACCAGCAGGTCCCGAACTGGCTGCAGCTGATAGGGAAGGGGGTAGATGTGTTTTCTCTTGACTTTGCCAAGATCAATGCTGCTCTCTATGCTATGTATGTTTCTGATTATAGTGTTGAGGGTGCGTGTTACTCGTGTGTGCCATGCGATGCAGGTGGTGATGCTGCTCCCCCAGGTGCTAGTGCGTCTCTTGCTGCCCTAGGTGCTAGTGTCGCTGCTGCCCCAGGTGCTAGTGAGTCTGCTGCTACTGCTGAGGTCTTGCACACTTTCACACTTGACTCTGGTGAGTCACGTTGCTTCTTTCGCGACAGCACCACTGTCACCCCACTCACTACCCCAGTCCCACTCTCACTGGCGGACCCCTCTGGGGGCCTGGTGGTTGTACGCCACTCCACTGTCCTCCCGTGCCCAACTGTCCCCTCTGGCTCTCTGTCCGGTCTCCACCTCCCCTCGTTCTCGACGAACTTGGTGAGCAACGCCGTCCTTCAGGAGGTCAGCGCGTGGCAATCTGCACATGCGCCAAGACAGGGCGACACGTGGCTACGTTCACACGACAGCCGGGGTCGAACCTGTACACACTCACCACAGCGTCTGCACAGGTAGCTGCGTCTGGTCAGGTGGCTGCGCCCGATCAGCTCGCTGCGTCCTGTTCGTGTCGCCTCCTCACCCACCCTACGCAGCTTTGGCACCACCGTCTTGGCCACCCGTTGCAGCTGCATCTGCGCGGCATGCACTCCCGGCTCCTGGTCTCTGGCCTCCCTGCGACCCTGCCCCCCCTCCTGCACTCGCTTGCGCCGCCGTGCCTTCCTTGCGTCGAGGGGCGGTAGCGCGACGCTCCTCACTCCTCCTAGTTTCCTCCGACCACTGCTCCTCTGCAGACTCTCCACCTGCACGTGTGGGGCCCGGGCCCCGTCAGTGGAACGGACCAAGAGCGCTACTTCCTGCTGGTGGTTGGCGACTATACACGCTACACCACAGTCTTCCCGTTGCGGCGCAAGGCGGATGCCAGTGGTGTCTTGATCCCCTAGATCCGTGCTA